GAGATGTGTTTGCTTGCATTGTAATAAGGTAAGAATTGCGACAAGGATTCGTATAGCAGCATTTTAAAATAATTATTTATTGGTTTTCCTAAGCATTGAGTAAAGAAATAGTTTTGTAGATATTTAAAGTATGATTTTAGTACAAAAATTAATTCTAACCTTTAAAGGTGTGTAGATATGGGGGTAGTCACTCACTTGATCTGAAAAGTGATTCTTCTCCAGTGAAGGAGCACTTCGGTCATTTAAGGTTGATTAAGTAATAATATGTAATACGTTTATAATAATAATATGTGTTATTTTCATTTCTGAGCATAAAACTCAAAATCTATGAATGTTGTTTCACACTAATGTAAGAGTGAATGATCAAAAAACTAACTTGTACTAGTAAATGACCATGGTTCAAAGTTATGTGGTCATTTATTGCTGCACATTAAAATGGTTTGAGATGAATAATTAAAGACATTTGAATTTATTTTTATTCAGACAAATTCAAACTGACAGATGAAATAAATAAAAAGAAGAAAGCCTACAGACGTTTTCAATATAGTGAAGAAGATTTGTATGCAGCTGTAGAAGCAGTACGTGAAAATAAAATAAGTGCTAATAAGGCTAGCAAAATACTTAACATTCCAAAAGGAACTTTAATAAATAAATTACATGGAAAGCTACCAATGAAGCGAAAAATGGGCTCAGCAGTAACATTAACTAAAGCTGATGAAGACAGGTTGGAAAAATGGATTATTGGGAAAGTCAAATTGGGTTTTCCAATGCATCCTCATGAAGTAAAAGACACAGTTCAGAAAGTTATGAAAGGTATGGAACCCATTTAATGATGATTGCCCAGGAAAAAATGGCTGAAATTTCTTATAAAAAGACACACTAATGTAGCAGCAAAGAATACAAAAGTGATGCCCAAAGCTCGAGCAGCAATTTCAGAAGAGATGATAAGGAATTGGTTCAAAAATTAAATAATTATTTGAGAGAGGAACATGCAAGTGATATTCTACAAAATCCTTCCCGTATCTTCAATGCATATGAAATAGGGATGTTATTTTTTCCAAAAACTGACAAACTTCTGGGACCTAAAGCATATAATAAATTTCATAACGTTGAATCAGGACAAGAAAAACAGTGTATCACATAGTTTTGTGTAATTTTTCTGGAATTGGTTAGTCAGTGGATCCTATGATAGTATTCTCATACAAGAGAATTCCACGGAAAATTGCAGATTTAGTTCCAGATGGCTTTGCTGTAGGCAGAAATGATTCAGAATGGATGATAAGTGCTATAATTTATGAATATGTTGAAAATGTCTTCTATACCCGGCTTCTAGATAAGAATATCCAGTTTCTTGTATTATTTCTCAACAAACACTCAGATTTTTTGACTATATTGACACAACCACTTTATGTATCCGAGAAATACTATTTATCATCCTACAAACGTTTTCTACCTGCTCCACAGGTCATCATCAGGTATATTTGAAATTTATGGAACGTCTCCTTGTATCTGTTCCAGTTCGAACGCTTATGTGCAGCCAAAATTCAAATTTCTGTATCCGTTCGAACAATTCGTTAAAATATAAATAAATACCAGATAAAGAGAAAATAACTAAATACATGGATCCAAGTACAGTAAAATAACATAGAATACAATAAAACAAAATAAAATAGTGTAAAATTAACATAATAAAATATATACATATAATCAACCTAATTATATGGACCTCCTCAACCTCCTGGTGGTAATACCAATATGTTCTTTATTTATTCTTAGTTGATTATTTTTGTACGGTATTCTGTACACTCCAGACTGTTCCTCCTTCTTTATCCTATCCTTGTCCATTCTTGTATTATTACTTTTTGATGGACATAAATCTTATATAAATGAAAAACTGTATAATTTTTGTGTTGAGAAAAGAATTCTCTATTTTTGTCTGTTGCCAAATGCAACTCATCCAGCCTTGTGATGTTGCCATTTTTCGACCGTTTAAATGTCAGTGGAGAAGTGTTGTCAGAAAGCACAAGCAACAATCATCAAAATCAGTTTCTAAAACTAACTTTGCAGCTTTATTCTTTGAAGCTTACAAAAAAGCTTTGAAATCGGAAACAATTCAACATGGCTTTGAAGCATGCGGTTTGTTTTCTTTTGATCCAAATAGGATGGATTATGCAAAATGTATTTCTGCTAAATGTAAGGAATTGTTTTCCGAAAATGAACCTGATTTATCAATTAATTATGGAGAATTACATAAATGTGCACAGAAAATGATAGAAAATGAGATTCCACTTAATTTGTTGTCAGATTTCAAGGAAGCCATTAGAAAATTATTATTGCAATATTGCCTATCTATGAAACACATTTTTATATGAAATCATCATATAAATAAAAATCATCAAACTGATAATTTCTATAACATTGTTTATATGATATTTTTGAATTATAAACCTTTTCTATCAATCAATATTTTTATTCCAATTTCTTAATCTGAAATAATTGAGTGGGTTACATAAAATTGCCAACACATATATGGTATACAATGGTATAAAATTGCATATAGTATCCTAAGACTCTAGTTATTTATTGTTAGTCACTAGTCTTCAGGTGGTTAACTACTAGAGCCATATGGTCATTCAATGGTGATTTTTAAATTTTAAATTCATCATATCATTAATTTAATCAATATTACAGAAAATTAAAAATTCCCTTTTTGAATGAGTAGTGCGAGTTCTTGGTAACCAGCAATGACCATCACTTATGTTAAATGTCTGTTTGTTAATTTAAGTGATTATATTCAAATCTCCTTATCAAGGTACTTAAGTGATTATTTACTGGTGCAACAACCCTATAACGTTGTACAGTACAATACATGAAGACTAAAGCGTGCAAAATTTATGAATATTTTAATATATTTTTTAATATTTTCAAACCGCTACTACAGAAACTTTTTACCGGGCTCGCAATTATACTGAAACCTCTTATCTATACTAATATAGTAGATAAGACGCTATAGTACTCACTATTAAAATAAATTAACTATTTTACTTATTTTAATATTTCGTTTTAAACAATAATTACAATAACTTTCTAAAAATTTATATTTGCAGAAAGCCTACGATTTTCTTCAATTATTATTGGATGCACAAAAAGGCGTTTTGGAAATTTCTCCAGAAGAAGCCAACGAAGAAGAAATGTCAAATTTAAAAATATTGCCGAAACATAAAAGTATGTTATCGATTAGATTTTTAAAAGTTTTATTTATTTAACATAAGTTTAATTTCAGCGATGAACACTGAAGAAATGATGGCTCAATGCACTTTGTTTCTTTTTGCCGGAAATGAGACGACCACAAACGCATTAGCTTTTGTCTTATATTACATGGCCTTATATCCGGAACATCAGGATAAATTACTTCGAGAAGTAGATGAAATCTGGAAGATGAATGTAAGATCAATTAAGGTTGCTATTTCAAAATTTACTTGAATTCAATGTTACGTTTCATTAAGATTATTGACTTAATTTATTAATTTATGAATTTGAGATATAAAAAAAATTCTTAAATAAACTTTATAAAATTCTAAACAATCATATGTTACTTTTAAAAAATCAATTTTTAAAAACATCTTAAAAAATTGAAAAACTTTAAGGGTTGATACTGAATACCACCGTCTTTTTTTATCTATAACCGAATCTTATCAGAGACAAAAACTATTACGGGTTATAAATGTTAGTCTTTATTACACAATGCATTTCGGGTACAAAATTTTGTTTCACTTGCACCTCTCTTCAGGTAATGCATATCTACAATCAGTAAACATACAGATGTTACAAAAATTATATATTACAGCATTCAATGATTTATATTATATTGAACTAACTTCTTATGTTAAAACATACAGAACTTCAGTATATCGATGCCATCGTATTATTTAAGTTAATGGTGTTGTGTGCATTTATAAAAAACCAGATTTAATATTAAAAATAAAAAAGAGGATTACGTATATATGTCATTCCCATATATTAAAGGTACAGTACATACGAAAAATACAGAAATGTTTTCAAAAAATATGGAGTTGTACCAGCAGCCAAACTAAAAAATAAAATCAAAAATAATATTAATATCAATAAAATTAAAAATAAAGAAAAACTAGACGAAGTAGGTGTTGTGTATAAGTAAAATGTATGTGCAATAAACCAGCAATTAATATAGGTGAAACAGGAAGGCAATATTAGGATTAGAGTATGAGAGCATAAAACAGCAATCCGGCTAAAAAACAACCAATCACCATGGACTTATCATTGTAATAAATTTGGATGTATAATCAGTAATAATAATAATATAAAAATAATCCACAAAGAAAAAAAATTTTTTTACGAAGGTTCAAGGAACATTTCGCGATTGTAAATGCACACAACACCATTAACTTAAAGAATGGGATGGAGATAGATGACGTGTGGGCGGAAATGGTAAGGGCAAAATAGCACGTAGATAGACAAAGGGCTGTTAGAACGATGCCTCGAGAATAGGACATCGATATAGTGGAGTTTTGTATGTTTTAACATAAGAAGTTAGTTCAATATAATATAAATCGTTGAATACTGTAATATATAATAATTTTTGTAACATCTGTATGTTTACTGATTGTAGATATGTATTACCTGAAGAGGTAATACATATCTACAATCAGTAAACATACTGATTGTAGATATGTATTGTGCAAGTGAAACAAAATTTTGCACCCGAAATGCATTGTGTAATAAAGGCTAACAATTGTAACCCTTAGTAGATTTTAACCCTTAGTGATAAAATGCGGTTATAGATAGAAAACGACGGTGGTATTCAGTATCAACCCTTGAATTTATTTAATTTTTAAGAAGATTACTTTTTTAAAGAAATATAAAAAAACCTCACCATAAGTAAATATATATATTTGTTACTTATACAAGATAATCATACGTTGTTTTTAAATTTATTTTTAATTTTAAATGAAATTATTTAGGGTGAGATGAATTTTGACGTACTGAATAAAATGCAATATATGGATGCTGTTATCAACGAAACACTGAGAAAACAACCAGCATTGCTTCAGTAAGCCAAAAGAGTTTTGATTTTCATTTATCTTTCTGACACAGTTTCAATATATTTTAAATATAGCAATATTGGTTTATAATTATGCAAATGTTGTATTTATTACTTTTAATAGAAATATATTTACTATTTGTAGAAAATTGCATCACATTAACATTATTTTTGTTTTCCCTCTGACAAGTTCTGAACTTCTGATATACCGTGTATATATCTACGTTTAATCTATTGGTCTCAGATCTAACAGCTTCCATATCAGTCCAAAATGTAGCCATTTTTTACTCTTAATAAAAGACTTTGAATATGATATATCAGGACGTGCCAGAAGGAAAACAAAAATAATATTAATGAAATATAATTTAAAAGAAATCTCTATTCATAATATATGTGTTTATTAACCTATGTCAGCCTACNGAATTACCAGAGCTAGGTATTAAAATACCAAAAGGAATGAATATTCTAATTCCTGTTTATGCTATGCATTATGATAAAGAATTTTTTCCAAATCCGGAAAAGTTTGATCCTGACAGGTAACTAGTTTGATTTTTATTTAACAAGAAAATATGCAATAATTAAAAAATAATATAATTTTAAAAATAAATACGTTAATATAGGTTATATAAATATGACTTCAGATGTCGAACATTTCATTAAAGTATAAGTTTCTCTTGTTTTATTGATCTGTTGAAAATGTGAACATGAAAGGTTTTTCCTAATTTATATTTGTATGTAAGTTTCATTAGCATTAAATTCTTTTATTCAAAGTTCTGTGTCGTTCAGTCATTAACTTGCTTTTTAAATTAAAATTTTGGTATTTATTAATAATAAATTAGTTATAACGGCAAGTCAATTCAAATTTAGACATGGTATTCAACTTTAAGTATAATGAATGTGATGTTTTAAAGCATTTCTTTCTTATGGAATTCAATGTAATTATACTATTCCTTGAAGACGTAATAGCTCAATTTTTGAGATGCACTTAGTAACAAGTGATCGACAACTTAGAAAGTGAGAACGAGGTAAAGCGTTCAATCGAAATAGGTAATCAGAGACAGAAAATAATAAAAACCTTGAATTTCAAAACCGAGAGAGCTTCAAAACAAGAAGACTTAGAGAAATCGAAGGGAGAGAGCTTCGACTCTCTCCCTCTCTCTCTTCAGACTGACATCATTTCCTCTCCAGACCGTCGATAACATCGTCCAGGAGCCTCCGAAACGACGAAAAGATCCTTCTCTCTTGGATAGATCATCTCTCAGAACCAGTGGCATAGCGTGGGTGTCAGCCGCCCGGGGAGGAGGAAAATTTCGCCCCCTTATTTAGGTATTTCAATTTAAAAGACTAAAATTCAGTTTCGTCACAGAATAAGCAATGAAAAATTCCGTGCTAGTGTTGCCACTTTTTAAAAATCGCTGACCCGGACGGCAGGTGAGGTTTGTTCGAACAGAAGTTCCTGACGCATGCGTATGTCATTTTGCAATGCGAAGAATTTTGCAGTGCATGCTGGTTCTAAATCAGTTACAGTTAGCGACTAGGGAGACTTGGATAGGAGTAACGCAAGTGACCTAGCTCTATTGGATATTTATACAGTACATTCGTATGGATGTGTCCTTAAGAATACTCGTTTAACATTATTTTTCATGTACGATATGCGGGTCACGATGGGAATGCTGCACAGACACCTGCAAAACTCGAGGAGGTGCTATATGTATTTTAAAGAAGTTTGGAAAATCCTTCATGTTTCAAAAGTTACATATTTCCATTTATTATACGCTGTATTATTAGGCTACAATAGAAAAAGTTGTAGACCTATAAATCCCCACTGTCGCCAGTTATCCTTAATCACGAGAACGATGTTAGGTAGATGAACTTCGAGAAGAGATATGGAAACCTTAGGGGCAAGAGGCTCCGATTAGCTATATACGAATTTCCGATGCAAACCGGAAGTCACGTTATTTCAATCTAAATATTTTCCCCGAAAGGAGTTAGATAGATGATTAGCACGACTCCATTGCTAACAGAAAGATATGATTTACAGGGGCAAGCCACTACTAATTTGAGGTGGAAAGCATATGTCTTATATTAAATAAATTAAAAATGTGATTAAAAATTGCAGCCCGGCATTCTGACGATGTCACAATAATTTTTCGTTGAAAAAATTCTATTTAAAATTAAAACACAGAGGTTAATTTCAATAACCTCTTGATAATATGAAGTGATAGTTACTATTATTATTAAATTGCTAGGGTTTTATATAGTTGCATTTAAACCTAACTTAAATAAATTTCTCAGTATTAAATAAACAGTAATTTTATAATTTTAAAATACAGTTGACCCCCTTAACGCGGTAGATATGTTCCACTATATAAGAATTTTACGTTGTAGGAATCCTTAAATACATGAGCCAATCACAGCCCGGAACGTGTGCAGTTTAAGGACTACGGCTGTTTGAAATGTTTTTTCCATAAAATTAATCGATTCTAGACTAATTTCACTCAACATTTCCAAAACACGTATAATTTTTTGGGAATAATTCGTATAAACTATGCTATAAACAAAAAATTGTAGGATTACTTACCGAGTGTGCACCGTTCGACGACGCCATNGTCCGACAAAGAATAATCGTCCAATGATGCTCAAAACATTCTTTGCTCCGCCCACTAACCTGCTCAGAATTCTGACTTAGTGTTCTGCGTTACCCAGCTTTAGAACAGATTTATTTATCAACAATCTGTTTTTATAGTGATATAGATTCGATTTCTTACTTTAATATTTGCTACTGAAAACAGTTTCATTGAAATCAGTAATAAAAAGATTTTTCTGAAATTTTGTCTATTTCATGTGAAACGCCTTCATTATGAACTATACATTTAAATTAATTTCCTAACTTAATTTCACTTTCTCTGCTTGTTATGTATACAAAAAAAGGGAAATATAGGAATCCTGTGAAATTTGACTTTTCAAGTATTTTGCAAATCTCCAGTTTTGAGACCTCCTGAACCCAAAAAAGTGAAAAGAAAAAACCACGGAAAAAATTCCATAGGTATATTTGTTTAGATTTATGTGTGCGCGTGGGCTTCTATTTCGTTTAATATCTCAGGAGGGGTAATAATGAAAAAACGAAATTTGATATGCTATTAAATTTTTGTGGTTAAATGTCGAGAGGGATCAGACTTAATATAATTATTCGTTATTAGCATTTACAGTATTTTATAAAACTATCACTACTCTCAAAATGAAGATTTTTGCCATTTTATAATTAAAAATTTTTAAAGTTTTTATAACAGAAACTCATAACAGAATAATGCCATGCACAATTTTAATTTTTTCCAGGAATGTTGCGCAAGTAGTTACTGGAGTTTTTCTTTTAAAACTGTAAAAATTCTGCTTTATTTGGTATCAATAATTAATGTATAAAATTTATTTTTGTGAAAATCTCAAGAATGCCACGACAAAATAAGATTTAAATCTATTTTAATATATTGTTTACCACATTTAAATTCATTGTACAGTACTTACTTAATTTAATTTAATTTTACTTAATTAGTTACTTAATTTATTTTTGGCACAAATAGTTATGATTTCACATTAATGATATTTCAGATTTTTGCCAGAAAATCGAAATACCATTATTCCTTTCACTTATCTTCCATTTGGAGAAGGCCCAAGAAACTGTGTTGGAATGAGATTTGCTTTAATGGTAGTAAAAATGTGTCTCGTCTACATCTTTCGCGATCTTCGAGTAGAAGCTACAGAGGAAACGAAGGTAATTGTTTTCTTTATTTTGCTTTAAATAAGATGTTTATTCAATTTTGTTTTGTTCAAATAACAAAAGTATTCAAATATAATGCTGTAAGTCGTGTATTTATAGGCTATATGCTGTAATGTTTTATTTGCTTTATATACAGACTTTATACACAGGCTTTTCAAAATGTTTGACAGCCTATGTATGAGATACATATGACATTTTTCTATGAAACGGCCTTTATGGGTTAATATCATTTTGATATCTAAATTTATCGAACTGTCTGTTTTCTAAGAAATTTTTTAGATATTAATTAATTAAAAGGTATTTTTCTTACTTCACATTTTACCAATAGTAAANAACGGCCTTTATGGGTTAATATCATTTTGATATCTAAATTTATCGAACTGTCTGTTTTCTAAGAAATTTTTTAGATATTAATTAATTAAAAGGTATTTTTCTTACTTCACATTTTACCAATAGTAAACTTCGAGGTCGGAGTCGTCGACGTCGAAAGAATTTTACCGACTCCGACTTTAACTCCACAATACTTATTCAATATCTAGAAACTTCCTAACAGTGTGAAATGTGTTCAATATTGCCGCTGTCTGTAGTGCCATGTATATGTTTATATTAAGGTTTAATGTTTCCAGACATTTTTGTAATGTATGCGGTATAACACCAGTAGAAAAGAGGACAACAAGTTCTATAAATACCTTATTCATCCTCAACATCTGTTTTATTTCTTGAGCAAATGGAGTGTACCCGTTGGTTTTTTCAGTGTGAGCATTTTTTATGTTATGAGTGTTTGAAACAGCGGTGTCTATTATATAAGCGATCTTACTGCATTTGTGAATGAAAATGACGTCAGGTCTATCGTGATGAATGTTTTATCTGTGATTATGGCTCTATCGTAGTTTATTTTGTGTGTGTCATTTTCTAATACTGCATGTGAAGTATATATGTAGTAGGGTGCCCGGATGTTTAATAATCTGTTGTGCAAGCTCTTAGTGTATTGAACTGCCCACTGGTCAGTGGATGGCTTGGATAATGTTTTCTCTATCCCGTAAAGTCGGGATTCTTTTGTCAGATCGAGTGGAGGAGGTGAGAGGGGTCGTCGGTAAAGTGTGAGCGATACTCGAAGTAAAGACACCAATTAACAACAAAACAACATTTATTGAGACGATAACATAACTAACATAAATACATTGAGCTTATCTCGAGCGGACACGCGGGAGTGGAGGGAAACGCGCCGAGAGAGAGTGTACATTAATGGGTATCATTTTTAAATCATCCCTTCGGTTTATCACCAGATCATCCTTTTTCAATCAGCTTTCTACATTTATTGAAATTAAATCATATTCGTTCATTTTCTTTAAATATCATTATTCTAAGTCTAAAACTTTGGAATGCGTAAATATTTTTAAAGCTAAGTATGCTTACTATATGGCTATATGTAATGGTTGCTCGTGCCGGATTAAATAAAATTATTTTTTAAGATAAAGTTACTATTTTTAGAGTAAAGAAGCAATAATAATTTTAACTCCGTCCGCCATTTTCCTAGCTGTCCGACAAAGAATAATCGTCCAATGATGCTCAAAACATTCTTTGCTCCGCCCACTAACCTGCTCAGAATTCTGACTTAGTGTTCTGCGTTACCCAGCTTTAGAACAGATTTATTTATCAACAATCTGTTTTTATAGTGATATAGATTCGATTTCTTACTTTAATATTTGCTACTGAAAATAGTTTCATTGAAATCAGTAATAAAAAGATTTTTCTGAAATTTTGTCTATTTCATGTGAAACGCCTTCATTATGAACTATACATTTAAATTAATTTCCTAACTTAATTTCACTTTCTCTGCTTGTTATGTATACAAAAAAAAAAAAAATGGGGGAAATATAGGAATCCTGTGAAATTTGACTTTTCAAGTATTTTGCAAATCTCCAGTTTTGAGACCTCCTGAACCCAAAAAAGTGAAAAGAAAAAACCACGGAAAAAATTCCATAGGTATATTTGTTTAGATTTATGTGTGCGCGTGGGCTTCTATTTCGTTTAATATCTCAGGAGGGGTAATAATGAAAAAACGAAATTTGATATGCTATTAAATTTTTGTGGTTAAATGTCGAGAGGGATCAGACTTAATATAATTATTCGTTATTAGCATTTACAGTATTTTATAAAACTATCACTACTCTCAAAATGAAGATTTTTGCCATTTTATAATTAAAAATTTTTAAAGTTTTTATAACAGAAACTCATAACAGAATAATGCCATGCACAATTTTAATTTTTTNATTATGCCTATTATTATCGCTTTATTTTTCGTGTGCATACACTGTATATATAAATTTTTTATAATAGGTGAATAAATATATTATGGGTTAACAATAATTAGAAACCAAACCTTTGTAGTTAATTATAATCGTTTTTTAATCATAAACTGAAAATTATAATGCTTTTATTTTGTTCTTTTCCTAGATGCCTTTAGAGTATTACATGGGCCAAGGATTACTTCAACCAAAAAACCTTATGGTCAGATTAGAAAAAAGAAAATGAAATAATAAAATTGGATAATAATGTAAAAATTAATGAGTTTCATGTTTAACAAAATGAATTGAAAAAGTAAGCTTGTTATGAAATTTTTAATTAAAAAATACCATACGTAATGTAAAAGTTGTCGACTAATTATCAATAAATTTTTCATTTAAAATTCGGTTTAATTCTCTTTCATTATTTATATTCCGAGAGTCAAAACTAAGGCCTTAAACTGTAGGCTCAAAACACCCGACATAAGTAAGAAAGGCTATAAGAGGCTTGATTTATCTGCAACTAGTACTGAGGGAGCTGCCGTATCGTTCTCGATGACTTGTACCTGTATCTAAAGATTCTAAAATCTCTGTATTCCGTTATAAAAAAGAGTTATATAAAATGTTTTTTCTAGAGTAAAAACATTATTTTAAGTGAGGATAGCTTCTTTTATTTGTGAAAAGTTAAAAATACATAAGAGCTTGAATGATACTAAGATTACTTTTTCAGCACTGTGTCCTTTTGTTAACATAATATTGAATACTAAAACTTGCACCGAAGTAAAATAAAATAGTACTGCTTTGTTAGTAAAATATTATAACAAATATTTTCAAAAGTTTTCATTTTATAATTCATAAAACAGTCACAGAATATAATATTATACTTATTGGAAATGCTTGTTATTAGATAAGACAGTTTTGGATAAAAAAGAAACACAATTACATAGTTTTCTAACGTATCAACAAAGAGGAAATTATCAATAAAATTGGGTGATTACTTTTAAAACTTGCAAATAATAAGGTTTTGGTCTTTTTAATTGTATTGCTTCACTTTTTTAATTGTGGTTATTTTTTAAATTTCACAATTTATAATTACATCACATATTTATGTTAAGAAAAAACAGCTATTAAAAAAATACGCGAACACTTTCCGTTCAAATCCCAATAAAATTACGGTAATATAGTAGTCGTATTTTGCTATTTTGTATTGGATATGTGTATTTTTTGACTTTTTTATGATTTATACATGCTAAGCTTGTAAACTTTTCGTTAAATTGGATAAAGACACCGATTTTTCCGTTATATGGCCCGATTTTCCTTTCCGTTTCCGCATTGAACAGGTTCCGCTAGATACAGGATACATTCGTTTTTGCAAAAAATTCAACGGACAAAGAAATTTTCCGTTAATAACGGGTTTTCGCTATATACAGGTTCCGTTATAGACAGGTTTGACTGTATAATATACGTAGACGACTACAATTTACTAAGTTTATTAAAATTTTCTATTACAAGCATTTGGGCCGCGTAACCATTACAAACAAATATACTATTGGGTGGCATTAGGGAAAAGTTTGAGAAACAATGGACTAGAATACTTATCAACACTCGAGGTTTAGTAACTGTTATTTTTCATAGATGGCAGTGTTAGGATCATCTCCTGTAAAAACAGTGACTATTACTAGGTAACTGTATTTCTAGTTGACAGTTGAACAGTTATGTGATGGAGTTAAACCAGTTTATTCCTTCTACATGGATTACACTTATTGGAAGTGTATTGCTGTTATGCATCATGTAAGTATATGTCATTATCTACAACAATGTCTATTATTATAAAAGTCTGTTTATCAAATCAATTAATATTTAATAATAATTCTTATTTAATTTATTCACTGTGAGATAAATAATATTGATAATTAAGAAAAGTTATATCTGTACTTACACCAAAACTGACTAATTTAAATATTGTTATTAACAGGTTATATAATGAATAATTTAGCCAATATATAAATGATTAGATAAACAATTAACCTAGCAATAGAAATAAGTTAATACTAATAAAAATTATATGTAAATACAGTTTAAATATTATACTCGTAGTGAGTATCACGTGACCAAATGATTATCTAATTTAAAAAAAAATAACGTTAATAAATTACATCCTCTTAAATGACATTAGCGTTGTGAAAAATATTGAATTACGTCATTGAATAAACAATTATAAATTATATAAGAAGTGTAAAAGTATATCTATAATATTTGAAGGCCGTTTAGTAACTTTGCTACTTTTATGTATATATCAATTAATTGTGTAAAATAAAATTTAAAATAATTATTATAAAAATTGTTATTTACATATCCACTTGTAAGTTATAAAAATAAAATTTAATTTACAGTATGTAATTATAATTGTTTTTAATTACTGTTAATCGTTATAAAATAGTTACTGTACTATTATTATAACTAATAAAAACAGATTACAAATTATTGATAGACTGAACTTTGGTATTTTGTATTTTATCATATTTATGAAGTAATATTTAGAATAGAACCTTGAGATTTATTTATCTATTTTTATCACATGTTAATCGAATAAAATGTATAAGGAAACAACAAATCATATTTTTGACTAATTATATAATATACAATACATATTTTTTAAAATAAAGAATTTGTTGTTCTTGAATAGAATCGCGTTAGATTTCATAATCAAGCATCAATCGATTCAAACTAAAATACTCTAGCAACGAGTTGCTTAACTTTCCCGGCAACCTTTAAATCTGCGTGTGTGGCACCATCTCTTATATTTTATTATTAAAAACTTTTTATGCTTTTAATTATTATAAAATGGTAAGAAGCTTAACTTTAAGGGTAGGGATGAGTTTATTAAAAAAAACAAATTGTAAATGCTAATAACGAGTAAAATCGTCATTAAGTCCGACCCTACTGCAGATACACACTACCTCCATTATCTATTCACCCCCTCGGCCTTTAACTACCAAAAGAGAGGTTAATATCTTTAACCTCTCTAATAATCAAACCTTCCTGCAAAATTTTAGAAATTTTTGACAAAAAGCACAAGAGTTATTAAGCTTCAAACATACAGAAATTATCCCCGAATTTATTTGCATTTCTCCACGTTTCAAGGTGTCCTGAGCCCAAAAGTGTAAAAATCTGAGGGGGGTCATTTTTTGTCGGATTATCATACTTTCCCTCTGTTATAACAGCAGGGGAAAGTACAGATTCTATTTGAAAAATGTATATAAATTAGCATAAAAATTCAAATGATGAAAATACTTTTTCTTATGTTACAAATAATATCAAATTGCACATTTTAGTTGTTTAAAAAAGAAAAACACTTTAAAATTCATGAAAAGTTAATAGAATCAGCAAGCAAAGGTTCAACTCTTTAATTTACTTATTGATAATGTTCAATATAACATTTATTGAAACAAATTGTTAAATAAAATAACTTATTTTACGATTATATTTAAAAAAATATTAAACTACAAGATTACAAGATATATAAACTATAAAATAGTGTAATATAATAATCTATCTATATTATTTAATATGGAAATAAGAGAAATCATTGTTTTAAAATAATAGTACACCTAGAAGCTCTTCTGAAATAAAGATAGATACAGATAATTACTAACAACAATTTATAACAAAGTGTAAATCACATAATAGGGAAAATGTCTTATATAAATTTTAACATGTGTGTTCTAAAATTATGTATTACAATTGAAAACTATCTTTAAATACAGTCATAAATACAATATAAACGTGTATTTTCATATATTTGGAAAGGTGGTCTAGTGTAAAGCAAAGTATTTCTGTTAATTATAAGATATATCAACAGCATTAAATTAATATATCGAAGGAATAGACATATTAAAACTAAGTTAAGAAGTATTATACACATATACCACGATGTTTTCTCCAGTAGTTCAACAGTCATTGATATTTCAGTTTAATAGCAGAAGTTTTCTATGAATGACCATCCTGTGTATTTTATAGTTAATTATAATGAGATTAAGTCAACAATTACAAGTACATTTACTGAAACATTTATAAATAATGAAAACTGTAAAGTTCATTATTTATTAATGTACATTATTTTAATATTAAGCAATTATTTTTTAAACTAAATTGTTGTGCATTGTTATAAAGATAGACAATGTAAATACGAATACAATATAAAAATTGAATTTCAATTTATTATGAATTGTAACTCGTTGGTTTCATTTATCACCGCGGATAATTGAGAATTTATTACATTCATATTAACAAAATTTTTTATTAATTATAAGATTTTATATTTAGTAAATAATTTTCATTAAGAAATCAATGATTATTTAAAGTAGATAAACGTTTTCTCTTAATGAATAAAACTAATTTACGATAAAATTATATTATCATAGAAAAGTTTCATTAAGAACTAATCTAAATTATTAATTGGAGTTTTGCAGAAATTCGATATAAAAAATTTTTTAATCATTTAAAGTTTAATAATTTTAAATATTTTATTCTTTTCTCTGTAATTTATATTCAAACAATCATTCTCATTCTTCAGTTATTTTAATTTATATTATTTAACAACCAATTTTATTATGATACATTCATTTTCGGGTCGCAACCTTTTAATTACTAAGGACTCAATAAAAATTTTAAAAATCATCGAGGGCGCATAGTTGAATTTTTGAAAAAAGTCACAATGTTCTAATAAATAAAAAATAATTGTTTTGAAATATTGTATTTATATTTATACGAAATAAAGATTATACATGCATGTAATAACTAAACAATGAAAATTAAAAGTACGTACATAAAATATCACAAAATTAAATAAAATGAAATTACAAGTATATATATTTACGCTTTCGAAACTATGATTCTGGAGGGCGCATTTGAAATGCGCCACGGGCGCCGCGTAATTGACCCCTGATCTATGTATTTAAGATAAAGCTTTAGTTAAATAATATAGAACAATTAAAGTATATTTAAATGAAGTGATTATTCAAATATAATTTGATTTAATAATTATTCTTTAAATTTTATATTAAACGTTTCAACGCAGTGTGTTTTTTAGTGATATGACCGCATCAATTTTTCAAATAAACCAGTTTAAACAAAGATCAAATTCAAGTAATAAATATTTTTTATTGTAACATTTAATCGTAAATCAAATTGAAAAGATCAGTATAATAAAGAAAATTAAAAATACCCTATTATCTCAGTACAGTAATATTCCTAGTTTGAACGCTAAATTTGACAAAAAAAAAAAAAAAAAAAAAAAAATTGTTTGGGAGTTCGGACCTCGCACGCAGTGTAAAAATGCACTCGAAACGTACAAACATTGTTATGCACCCAAGTCATCTGTCGCTCTCGCATTATGCTAGTAGGTTTTCAGTGTTTTTCTCGCTTTATACTTCTGGTGTATTTTGTTATATATTCTGTGTGCTATTCATCGATATTTAACAATTTATTTTTGCAAATTTTCTTCGTTGACTGCTTTTGAGTACTCTGTATAATTTGTATACTTTAATTAAAAATTTTCTAAACGGAATCTTTTAAATCACATTTGACATATTGGAAGTTTAGGAGCATCTTTCCCATACTCATTAAGAATTCTTTTTACTGTTAGTAGTGTTATATCTTTTCCGAAGCATAAAGTATCATATTCCTTATATTCTTTTTATCGGAAGGCATTTCAACTTGCTTTTATTTACATTTGTTATAAAATGTAAATAAAAATAGAAGGCTGTACAAGGAGAATGAATAAAAAAAAGAAATACAAAAGGTGCAGGAACTTAGTAAATATAGAGGTAAAGAAATCTAAAGAATGGATCAACAACATGTGTAGGCTAATAGAGGAAAACATGCAGAAAAGAAATACTGTATAGAATGAGCATATAGGGTGGTTAAAAGACAATTTGTGTAAGGATATACAGCGTTCGTTGACGCCGCCTGATAATTAATTCGCCAGGAAACTAAACCCATGGAGGGTTTCGGGTGCCGATGAATTTAGATTCGAAACACCTTTACAGATTTTCCCGTTTATTTATACATAAATTGTTTACATTTAACCTGCTTTCGTTTACTTCAGTTTTTCGTTCTACGAAGATGTTCTTGGGATTTAGAATAATAGTTCGTAAATTCACTAGGAGTTCGGATGATGCCAGACCCGGAGACGAGGTGGTCGGGGTCACTTACTCCAGAGATTTGTCGAACACCACTCTCTAGCTGAGCCGTAAGACGGTGACTTGCATGCGACGAAGTCGTGCACTTATTGCCACGACAAGAGAAGATACTTGATGACAGATTGCTGTAGCGTAGAATGGATTAGCATTCTACGGCTAGATCAAGAATGCGCTTGAAAGAAAACATACTAAGCTGACTGGTAGATGCGAGCGGATTAACAGAGAAAATGGATCGACGCAACGCGGTTAGGGAAGAATGGATGGAGAAGCGCAGTTTGACTTTCAGATGCGGGTTTATATAGAATCTATCCGCAGACCAACAATATAATTGGTCCCGAATCCCTCTCTTTCTTCTCTGATTAGTTTCTTCTTTATTTTCAGATAGGTAGAAATAGACCTGGTCGAGGCACGAGAAAAGTCAAATAGCGATGTTAATCCGACACCGCATTTCGATCTTGGATGACAGGATGTTTAAACGAACTCTGGAGCTTTTATTCGTATTTCAAAGGATTTTTGTTTTCTCTCTTGTCAAAAATGTTTATTAATCATCTCGCGATAATTATTCATTGATCGAAATATTTTATAGCACTTCGAGTTCACCGTAATTTGGTCCGATTCAAGAGAACCCAAGCCAAAGTCCGTCTTGACGGTTTGACACAAGAACTCAGGTCGTCCGACTCTTACATTTATTATTTTTTTTTTATCTTCGCGTTTTGTTTATCTTATGAAATTCCTTTCCCTAGTGGAAAGCTTTTAAACAAAATTTATTCAGGGGTTCGAACCTCATTCGGAACCTCACATCGGAGAAAGAAAGAAACAAAGAAATGTCATCATGAATAGATAGGAAGACATCCTGGTAGAAAAAGATCAAATTGTAAGATGGAGAGAATATATAGAGAACCTCTATGAAGGGGACAGTCCGAGTAACCTTGCATTAAAGAATGAGAATGATTCGGATGCAGTGGGCCTGGGTTCACCAATACTGTAACTAGCATTTGATAATATTATATGAAAAATAAAGCAGAAAAGAGTCCCGGGAATAGAACAAATTCTAGTGAAGATTATAAAAGCTTTAAGAGAAAGTACCAAGCAAGAAGTTTACAACTTGGCGAATGAAATGTACAGTACGTGACTAGAAAGTTACCTGACTTCAAGACGATAATAATAATACCCATTCCGAAGAAAATGAAAGCAGAAAAATGCGAATAACACAGAACCTTGAGTCTGCTGTCACATACTATGCTGAATAATCTATCAAAGACTACAGAGAAGAATAGAGATTTAGACGATTAGTTTGGATTTCGACGGAGTAGGGGAACAAGAAAAGCAATACTAAGCCTAAGATTGATAATCGAACAGCTTCTCCGTGTTAATAAACAAGTATTAATAGCATTTTTTGATATGGAGAAAGCTTTCATCGGTATTGATTGGGAGATCATGTTCAGAGCACTGAAGATGTTGGAAACTGACTAAAGAGAGAGAAGAATTATATTAGAACTATATAAAAATCAGACAGCATTTTTAGGAAGGGAAAAAGAAACAAAAATCATAAAAGGAGTACGGCAGGGATAAGGACTTTCCCCACTATTATTCAATATGTATATGTAGAAGCTATGAAAGAATTCCTTCTACCAACAGATCAGGAGTAAAAGTAAATGGGAAATTGTTCATTACGAGACGATATGCTAATGATATTGCCCTGATAGCGGAATATGAAGAGGTGCTCCAACAAGCTCTTACCAATTTCGATAAACGTCTAACAGAGAGATAAAAGATGAAAATTAATAAGAAGATCAAGGTAATGGAAGGCACAAGAAAATGGCAGGAAGGTGCATACGGTTAGCTAGAGGGTTTTCACCCTCTAAGGTAAAGAAGTAAAGACTTTCCAATACTTAGGCAGTATAATTTCCTCTGATGGAAGAAGCATAAAAATGTATCTGCTATGATAGCACAATCAAATCGGCTTAAACGGCAAAGTGGATAACTATTTACTTTTAGTTGAAAACTAAAAGTATTTTCAATTCCAATTTATATTTAGATGTCGTACATAATAATTGGATTTTCCAAATGTGTACTGTACCTATACATTTCCACTGTCGCCGTTTGTCTGTGTCCTCCGTTAATCTCGCGAACGGAGTTAGGTAAATGACAATTGAGACCAGATACTGAAAATTTTGCGGCCAGAGGCGCAAAGTAACAACTACATACGATCTTTTGGTACAGACCGGATGTCACGTGATTTTTTTAAATTTAAAGATGATTAAAAATTGCAGTCTTGCATCGTGACGATGTCACAACAAATAATTGCTAGTTAAATCGTATCTTTCTAATGATAAGAGCTGATTAGTTGCTTCAATCATTTCTAACAAAGTTATATGTGAAAAGATGGGTAGTCATATCATTATGAAACGCACTGTTATTTTTCGTATACTGTATATAAACTCATTCTTTATATTAAATATTTTAGTTATGTGAATAGAAAATTTCAGTACTGGAAACGACAAGAAATTCAATGTTCAGTTGATGGAATTTGGAGTTTTCTATTGGAAATGTCCGAGGTGTTGAAAAAGGTATTCAATATTAAAAATAGAAATAATTGATAATTGTAATTTTAGTACTGTGAGATTTGATTGCGACCATGATCACCGTCCAATATTAATTTTGCTGGTAGAAAAAAAGAGATTTGATCACATATGTAGATTTTATGCGCACAGAGACCAGTCACATTTACAAACAATCACGTTAATTGTTACATGAAAAACGTTTACAAAATAATTCCACAGTTCCTTCCTTCGAGAATGTTTGAGAGACATAGAGAAAATCCCACGCGGCCAGCCTGTCCAGGGCCCTTATTCTCGAGTTTTTCGTTAAGTTCATTGAACAATTTAAGAAATAGATCAAGGAAAAGACTATTCGAAGAAAAGACTAAATTAAAATATTTACTTTTTTCCATTCCGCAACGGATTTTTTAGCTCCAACACACGCATTTAATTTTTCAACTAATTCTCTCCACAAGTCTTTATCTTGTAAATTCGTTATCGAATTTTCCACTGTTTATTTTCTTATTATTTTCTATATATGTTACTAATATTTATTTTTGTTCTTCGCTTATTTTTTTTAAATAAAACATTGAAGGTTTCTATTTTGTTTCTGCGTACTATATTGCTATAAGACAAAACTAACTGTAATACGTGTAGACTAATTTACGTTTACAACTTTTTACAGTTAAGTTGATTCATTATACTGTAGTCGCAAACCCAGATGTATTGTAAATAATCTCATCATGTTTAACGACATACGTAATCAAGTGAGTTTGACATATTTCCGCTCGTCTTTCGAGTTTGCTTGATGGGTTTAACTCGAGACTACCGATTATGTGAGTCATAGTAACACGAGTGAGTTCAATGACTTCAATTCGCGTACAACACGGAAAACTTGAGAATAAGGGTCCTGGCGAGGAGCAAATCCGCAATCAAACTCCCAGTGTACAGTGAATAGAAGCGCTTGGCCACTGGTGGGCTCAATCCGTTTTGATGATATGAATATGAATCTTAAAGATATCCAAGAACTATTGGAAGAAGAAGAAATTGATGAAGCAAATTTGGTTGAAATTGTATTTGAGATCGACAAAATTAATTCAGATGATGATAGCACATATAAAAACTTTGAACCTCAAAATTTTATTTTTAAAAGCATACGAGAAGAGATAAATTTGGTCGAACAATTGGAACTCTACTATCTAAATACAGATACATCCATTTAAAGAAGCATAAAGTTTAAGAGAGTACTTTAGAAATGAGTGGCTCCATATAATGAAATTTATAAATGTCTTTTAGGATTATGAAAGCAAATGAAGATATCAGATTTTATGAAAAAAAATGAAAAATAATGATGTTGCTGATAATCAACAATAAAGCTCAGAAACTAGTTCGTAAAAAAAGTTCTCGTTTAACTAAAATTAATATTAACGTGTAATACAGTAGTTTTAGTTGTGATTGTTACTTAATTATTGATTGGAAATAAATTATTGATTGTTTTTTAATAAACATTTCTCTTGGTAACGAAATAAAATAGTAGACTTTTGTTAACTTTTGAAACCTAACCCTAAGTTTAGCATTGATCTTTTGTTTTAGTATAGCACGGATTCGCATAACACGGCTCTTTTTCAGAACGTAACTAGTTGTGTGTACGAGGGATACCTGTAGTTACGCATTTCTTTTGTGAGAAAAGTAGAAACAAATAGTGTGAACAACTAAAATTTATTAGTTCGACCTCAACAAGACATTCAGTTCATTGTCTATGGTTGCACATACAAGGTTTTTGAATCATTACTCATTACTAACATAAGGGCATCCAATGTTAAACTTTTATACTTAATAAAGCATCAATTAGTGTTTACGGATTTCCCTAGTAATGTATTGTGGTATGCTTTCCATTGAAGCACTTACTTTTCACCTAAGAAGTCTGCTTTATTCAAACCTTTATATCAGTGACCTAAGTAATGAATTAGGCCAATATAATACTGTATTAAATAGCAGCTAACAAATTTATTATGTGACCTGAGGATCGGCACCTCTTTGGTGACTTGTCAGGACTGACACCACCGTGTCTCGTTCGACACGGATGCCGCGACAGCGAGTTGGTTTATTTTTAAAAGTAGGTCTCGCGAGCGGCCGCGTGAGTAAGCGATCGGGTTCCGGATGGAGACGAAGAGACAGCCCGACAGAAGTAAAGTACTCAGACACTAAAGTTAATAACTAAATAACCGTATAATTTCAACGAAAGGTGTACAGTACATGATACAATATGTCGACTTAGCTTATCTACCTAGCGGTCGCGAGAGAGAGAGTTTACAAATGTTCGCGAGTCGGGAAATAACTGCGTTGGTGGTGATGCTTCTTGATTCGGATTTCGGAGGTCTATGGTCTTGATTTGGATCGTTCGGGACATGTCTGGATCGGGTCGAGAAAGTTCTTGTAGGCATAGTTGAGGGTAACGTGAAAATCCGATAGAGTACGATTGACACTGACACAGGAAAATTTCGATTACTGGCGACGACTGCCTTTACTGCCCGTTTGTTATTATGAAATCGGGACAGCAGATCAGAAAATCGCGTGAAAGCGTCTTTATCGACACTGAGAACTTAAAAGGAGATATACTCCCAGGTGTGAAAGTTACAATGTTGATGATATGACGTTAGATTAAGTTGAAGTCCGGATTCAACAATTATTTCTCATTAATTTTAGTATAAACTACTACTATTGAATAAATACGTGTATTTATAATTAAAATAAATGTACAGTACATTATTTGTAATATTAATGTAAAAATTGTTAAAATATAAATTTTATGAAATTTAAATAAATAATTGATAATTATTTTTAAAACAATAATTTACTGTTAAATGTTGTGTTTCTATCATAAATATTTTCAAATTTTTGTTTTATTTCTACAGTCAACGCATATCATAGACCTGGAATATTACAAAAAATATGGCCGAATACATGGGTGAGTTTAATAATTTACAGTTCTATCATATCATTTTTCCCCATTCTAGGATGCTAAAAATATTTTCTAAATCATTTTATACAAAAATTGTGGCTATGGTCTCATCACAATAATCAACTATAATTTGAAAAACAATAACTATTTCATTCATAAAATCGAATGAAAAAAATCTATTATCTTTGTATATCAGAAATAGTAATAAATGTCAAAGTAAACGCTGTAAGGCCATCATTAATATAATCTTCGGATCGTTTTCGAAGTTCCGATCGTGATTTTAATTCTTTAATTTTTATTTAGAATAGTCACTTCTAAGTGCAGACAGTTCTATCGACGGACAATTTAAATTTCGCGGTGCGTGTATTTCATCAAGAGACTTCTAGAGTTTATTTCTAGTTTATTCAGACAATTGTTATCCCTTGGCAAGTATTATTTTTAGCCGTTTTATAGATCTAATATTTAGGCCTAATAACTATAATGATCTTCAAAATGTCATTGTCAAAATATTGCCTGTAGAAATACAGAATGATTATGCCTCTGATTTCGTGCGAACTTTTGTCGCATTCTTCCCAAGGAAAAATTGTTTATAAATATTTACAAACAGAGATTAAAAGAAATATTTAACTGATATAAATGCCAAACCTTTTTCTGTACCAATACATGTAGTTTCTTCATCTTTGATGCAGTATCAGTAATCTTTTTATTTAATATCTCTTTTAATGGTTTTACTAATCTTGACAAATATTAAAACATTTTATTATTAGCGTACGTATCTTATGCTTTTAAGTGAAAAGTGGATACTATACAGTCGACCTCCTATAATACTGTTGATAATTCTGTTTTATATGAATTCCATGTTGTACGAGTAACTTAGATTTTACAAATACGTGTGCCAGGCTATCAACGGCTCAGTTATTTGTAAAATCTAAGTGACTCGTACAACATGGAATTCATATAAAACGGAATTATCAACATTGTTATAGGGCGGTCGACTGTATATTCAAAGTTTTTGTATTGGCAAATGAGCGTCATTTATTAGATTATGAAATTATTTTATTATTTAAAATTAATCATTGTATTAATCATAATATTTGTAAACTTTTTCAAATTGTTCATGATATTTGAATTATTTTGGCCTGATTCATATCTTTATGTCCGAAGTGGAACACCAATGTCCGGTCGGGTATCTCTCTGTTCGGTGAATGGACGATTTATTGTTTTTCATAAGTTAAGCTTTTTCGGGAAATCAACTTTCTATACTGACGAAATGGTAACATCAAAAGTCGGGCATTAGACAGTGCTGTAGCAGTGAACAAGATAACTAAACTTGTTCTTTACAGCTTCAATTCATAAAAAATGATTATAAACCGTAAAGTTTCCCGTCGTAATACGGTCTTCTCTAATCTTTCCTTTCAATTTATTTCAAACACTTTTATGAATTTATTAAATTAAACTCATATTTTCAAGGTTCGTCATCGAATCAATATTATGAAGTTGAATATAAATAATGATCTCATTGATAAATTTTCAAAACTTTATTGAATATATCTGTGTAATAACAATATTGAAATTAAAATCTTAATATTTTTAAATTACTTTTATAATGTATTATTTCGATGAATGACTTAAATTCGTTTCTTTTAATATTTTGTAGGAGATTTTTGGGAATTAAGCCGATTATTTGCATTGCTGAACCTCATATTCTGAAAAAAATTTTTGTTAAAGATTTTAATACATTTCATAATAGAGTGGTAAGTTACAAATTTTTTTTTCTCCATGTCGGGTTGTTTGGGATGAAATGAATCACGCTAAGTTTTTAGCATCATATTTTTAAGTTTCTACATTTTATGTTTTGCTCCCTATATGCCACAGATCCGTTGAAGTTTGTATAAGTTAAGAAAGTAAGTTATAAGGTATTCATTATCAGACATAATTTTAAAGTATCTTAAGTTAATTATAATAAGTTAATAGCCTATCGATTTTATTCTCACAAAGATAAAAAAATTTCAAGTTTAAATATATTGGCGAGGAGCAAATCCGCAATCAAACTCCCAGTGTACAGTGAATAGAAGCGCTTGGCCACTGGTGGGCTCAATCCGTTTTGATGATATGAATATGAATCTTAAAGATATCCAAGAACTATTGGAAGAAGAAGAAATTGATGAAGCAAATTTGGTTGAAATTGTATTTGAGATCGACAAAATTAATTCAGATGATGATAGCACATATAAAAACTTTGAACCTCAAAATTTTATTTTTAAAAGCATACGAGAAGAGATAAATTTGGTCGAACAATTGGAACTCTACTATCTAAATACAGATACATCCATTTAAAGAAGCATAAAGTTTAAGAGAGTACTTTAGAAATGAGTGGCTCCATATAATGAAATTTATAAATGTCTTTTAGGATTATGAAAGCAAATGAAGATATCAGATTTTATGAAAAAAAATGAAAAATAATGATGTTGCTGATAATCAACAATAAAGCTCAGAAACTAGTTCGTAAAAAAAGTTCTCGTTTAACTAAAATTAATATTAACGTGTAATACAGTACTTTTAGTTGTGATTGTTACTTAATTATTGATTGGAAATAAATTATTGATTGTTTTTTAATAAACATTTCTCTTGGTAACGAAATAAAATAGTAGACTTTTGTTAACTTTTGAAACCTAACCCTAAGTTTAGCATTGATCTTTTGTTTTAGTATAGCACGGATTCGCATAACACGGCTCTTTTTCAGAACGTAACTAGTTGTGTGTACGAGGGATACCTGTAGTTACGTATTTCTTTTGTGAGAAAAGTAGAAACAAATAGTGTGAACAACTAAAATTTATTAGTTCGACCTCAACAAGACATTCAGTTCATTGTCTATGGTTGCACATACAAGGTTTTTGAATCATTACTCATTACTAACATAAGGGCATCCAATGTTAAACTTTTATACTTAATAAAGCATCAATTAGTGTTTACGGATTTCCCTAGTAATGTATTGTGGTATGCTTTCCATTGAAGCACTTACTTTTCACCTAAGAAGTCTGCTTTATTCAAACCTTTATATCAGTGACCTAAGTAATGAATTAGGCCAATATAATACTGTATTAAATAGCAGCTAACAAATTTATTATGTGACCTGAGGATCGGCACCTCTTTGGTGACTTGTCAGGACTGACACCACCGTGTCTCGTTCGACACGGATGCCGCGACAGCGAGTTGGTTTATTTTTAAAAGTAGGTCTCGCGAGCGGCCGCGTNTTTTTTAATTTTTGGAACCTAACCCTCCTTTTCGTATTAGTTCTTTGTTTCGTATAACACGGATTCGCATAACACGGCAATTTTTTGGAACGTAACTACCGTGTTATACGGGGGTTACCTGTATCATATTTAAAATATTATCAACCTGAGAACAAAATAAAACATTTGAAATAGAATAAAATCTGTGTAAACTGAAATCGCACTATACCGAATTATTTTTTTCCGTTTTGGCAGGTTCTCGTTTTGAATACGCTGGTGTTCAAACTTAATAGAATTTGCACATTTTGTCGAATTTTTGAAAATCTTATGGACACATTTTAATGAAATTTAGGGCGGATACACAGTTATATAAGAGAAAACATTATATTATACAACAATCATGGTAGGCATTCATGATCGTTAATAAGGCTTAACAGTTTTCTTGTCTTCCGCTATCAAAGCTCTGCACAAACACACGTGTAAGCTTACCTATTCAACATTAAAATATTTATCATCACATGGAATTAATTTATCATCAAATTTTAAATTAAAATATGAATTAAATTTTCACGAGTTAAAAGTATTAAAATGTACAGTACAGTAGGCCTATGTGACCGAAGGGTCGGCACCTCTTTGGTGCCCTGTCAGGATGACACTACCGCGTCTAGGCGGACACGGAAGCCGCGTTATTTAGGTCACGCGAGCGGTAGCGTAACGGAGTGATCAGAGTCGAGATAGAAAGGGAGACAGCGCACCGGAAGTGATTCCTTCGTAGACTGGATTAACGTAACAAATCAAATGTTTAATGGGTAATAGGGAATACATATCTTACAATATGTTGATAGTAAAGTTCGATAGTAAAGTTAACTGAGCGTTCTCGAGAGAGAGAGTTTACAATTCATACGCGTGGCGATAAATACCTTTTTTGATATCTTGATCTGGATCCAGTCGGTAAGACAGAAAGTTCGGGAAGGTAGTGTTAAGTCCAATAGTTCTTTTCCTTTGATATTAGGCGATTCTTGATATTAGACGATTCTTGATATTCACAAGCGAAGAAGTATCCCAAGGAACACAGATATTACGTAGAAGTAATCCGATGGAAGAACTGGCGACGACTGACTCACTTTGTTGTTCTTGTCTAATGTTGAATTGTTAAAATCGCGATACTAGGTCGAAAGGTGATGAGAAAGCGTCTTTATTAGGCCTGAGAACTTAGCAGATGTTTAACTCCCAGGTGTAAAAGTTGACAGTTATTGAACGAAAGTATAGCTACAATGTGAAATGATATAAACACACTCCGAATTCGGATCCTCACACCTACATACAATTATTAAAAAGTAAAATTTATTTTAAAAGTAGATAATTAAATAAATGGAATAGAAAAAGATAACGTTTTTTGAAGATATGAATATTAAACGACCTTTTGTTTATGTACTGATTTTGTATTATTTATAATTCTTGTATATATTTAGTTTTGGTTTTTTATATAAATATTTTTTCCTTCTAGCATTTCGAACAATGAAATTACGTTAAATTAATTAATTTAATATTACAATAATATCTAAAATTTCGAAGAAAGTATTTATTTATTTAATGTTTCACGACAATAATAATATTTTCAACTTTTTAGATACATGAATTGTTTCACCATCGATGTAATGGCTTCAGCAGCATTTGGAACGAAGTTATGTTGTTTAGAAGATCCAAATAATGAATTTCTTACCATGGCTCGAAAAGCAACGAATAGAGATATTTCGTTTTCAGAAATGATTTTATGTAAATATAAAAATTTTTATACCATTTAAAATGTTAAAAAATGTTTTTATACGAAATAGTTATATATAACATAATCGTTTCATATAAAAATAAATCAATCACTTTGTGTGCATTTACCTAATTTTATTAAAAGTTTCAAAATTCTTTTAAGGCCTACTCATCGGAATCTTATCTGTATTGATTTGAACAGTTTAAAACATAATGTAAATTCATTTTGTCATATGTTTATAATAATAATGAAAACTCTGTTATTTTTTTTTTTTAGTCTGAAGAGGGTTTGCTGGTCCAAAATGCATAACTGTAATTAAAATAAATAAGAATAAAGTTGTATTCCGAGTAAAATCTGACCTGTTAAAATCAGTATAGATAAGGTTCCGATTATATCTTCAAAAATTTTTTTAACTTTTTAATAAAATTTCTTTGTAGTTTCGGTAATAATTTGAGAAATATTTTTACTTTCCCGGCTCTGTTATACTCGTATATAACAGAAGAAAAATATGGCGATCGGTCAAAAAATGATCCCAAGATTTTTATATTTTTGAACTCGGGCGCTTGAAACGTGAAAAAATGCAAAACAAAAAATTCGGAATTTTTTCTGTATAGATGTTAGTGTATGTGGAGGGATTAGGATTTTTTCACCCTGTTTGAGGATTAATAACGCCTGTGCTTTCTGTCAAAAATTTCTGAAATTTTGCAGGGAAATGTGTTTATTAGAGGGATTGATTCTATAAAATTTTGGTGGTTACAGGTCGATGGGTGAAGAGATAAAAGGGGGTCGTGTGTCAAATCTCGAGAAGGACAATTTTACTCGTTATTAGCATTTACAATTTTTTTTTATAAAACTCATCTCTGCCTTCAAAATTAAGCTTTTTGCCATTTTATAATAATTAAAAATATAACAAGTTTTTAATGAAATATAACAGTTAGCACCACATGCTATTTACATACTGTTTTACACTCCCTGGCATAGTTTAGCGGAGAGTTTTCACAAATAAACATATGCGTATCACGAATACAGAAACACTTTGCAACTATTTGCGGATTAATTTCACACAAATGTTTGACGTAGGAAAAAGTAATGGACAGATTGCACGAACGGGCAAACTCGTTGCAAAAACGATCGAACAGATGGCACGAATGATCGGAAGGATTTTACTTTGAACATACGGCGTGGCAGAAAATACGACCCATTATACAAAACAGAAAGGATGAATCCCGCAATTTAACTGAATGATTTCGCCTAATTACGGACAGATTAGTATATTGCTCTTTCGAAAATTATTATTTTTCTATCGAGTTATGTAAATGTATGTATTTAGTGAGAGTTTCTTCTTAATATAAAAAACTATTATTTGCAATTTTTCCCAATTCGAAAATTTAGTGTCTCGATGATATAAAAGCAGGTATATATTACATGTATATAAAGCCGATACTTCTTACTGTGACAGAAGCTACTATAGAAACGAGCAATTATTTATTGTGACATCGTCACAACGCGGGCTGCAATTTTCAATCATATTTTTAATTTATTTAATTTAAAATATATGTTCTCCACCTCAACTTAGTAGCAGCTTGCCTCTGTACTTTTCCTTTAGCAATACAGTCGTGCCGGTCATCTATCTAACATTTTTAGGGGAAATTTTTGAATTGAAATAACAGGACTTCCAGTTTTCATCGAGGTTCGTATATACGCACGAGGTTGTGGAACGCACGGGGCCTATTGGCCCCGTGCGTATCACATCTGGCCTCTATCTAACTTCTAGAGATTAAGGAAAGATAGACGAACGAACGAGCGATAGTGCTAATTTATAGATTTACAATTTTTTCAAATTGTAAATTGCAGCCCAATTAGATTTCAGCTGTTAGTGTTCGTGGACATTACGGCGTTTTACGCTGAAACTAATATAGATTAATAAAGATGCTCTTGTAAAGATGCTCAAGTATCATTTTTGCACCATACATCACAATATTAGTTTAATTGCAGCAGTTATCTGGAAATAATGGGTCAAAGACAACATAGTGATTCATTTTAGCTGAGTTTACTTTATACATTATGTATATACAATTTATTTTGATATATTTTAAGTTTGAATGTAATAATATTTAATGGGTAGTTTATTTGTTGCATTAAATATCATATTTATCTTATTAAAATAATTTATAATTATTCGATATAAGCTTATTATCTATTAATTAATAATAAATAACTATAAGCCTGCTGGTCTTATTGTTATGTTTACAGATTCATCACACACCTTTCTGATTTTTATTCATTAACGCACGATGTCATGGAATGCATTTCGGCTTATTCAACAGCCTTCTTCATCCGGGTTACACATAAACATTTCGACAACATGAAAGAGAACTGTTGAATAAGCTAAAGTGCATTCCGGGACATCGTGAGTTAACGAATAAAAATCGGAAAGGTGTGTGATGAATCTGTAAACATAACAATAAGACCAGCAGGTTCATAGTTATTTATTACTAGTTAATTTACAATTATATTGGATTCAAGTATTATTTTCATTTCATTTTTTTTTTCATTTAGTTCTGTTTCCAATTTTAACAAAATTGATAAAGGTAAAATCTATCGATGAGTCATTCAGCTATTACAAGAATTTCATTTTACATGTTATTGATCAAAGAGAAAAGGAAAAAATGGTGAATAACAAATTATTAAATTTTAATGTAAAAATAATTTTAATTAATTAATTCTATTAAATTATTTTTAAAAATTTTGCATTTATCATTTGATTTAAAATTTTAAATTTTTATATTAACATAATTCTAATATGGTAGCCTATTTCATATATACAATACAGTACATTATTCCCTCGTATCTGTGGACATAGATTCCAAGTCTATCCACGGATTTTTTCAATTAGGAATAACTCCAAACCCTATATCATATACTGTACGTTTTCAGCATATTCATGTAGTTTTAATACAGATTCATTTAAAAATAGAATAGTGAAGACATTTTAGTCTTTCTACGTATTTTTTACTAATGTGTCAGTAAATCCGTCAGTCCATCTTTTAAAAAAAAACACTATATAGTGTTTATAGCGATGTCACGACTGTGGATGATGAAATGGTAAGTGGGAGACTGGGAAAATAATTAAAATCAGGAGGATTTATGACGCTGCCTAGGTATACACACACACCTGCAAAATTTATGAATTCAAATTTATGAGTTTTTAATTTTTTAATTCTTTTTTATTAAATATTTTCAATCCTCGGATAAGGAATTACTCTACTCACTATATTTCTGCCTATCAAATATATAAATTAAATTAGCTATCTCATTTTTTCATTTTAAATAATAATTATATTCACTTATTAAAACGTTATACTCGTATTTACAGAAAGCCTACGATTTTCTTCAATTATTATTGGATGCACAAAAAGGCGTTTTGGAAATTTCTCCAGAAGAAGCCAACGAAGAAGAAATGTCAAATTTAAAAATATTGCCGAAACATAAAAGTATGTTATCGATTAGATTTTTAAAAGTTTTATTTCTTTAACTTAAGTTTAATTTCAGCAATGAACTCCGAAGAAATGATGGCTCAATGCACTGGGTTTCTTTTTGCCGGAAATGAGACGACCACAAACGCATTAGCTTTCGTCTTATATCACATGGCCTTATATCCGGAATATCAGAATAAATTAATTGAAGAAGTAGACAAAATCTGGAAGACGAATGTAAGATCAATTAAGACGAATTAATGCTATTTCAAAATTTACTTGAATTTAATGATACATTTTATTAAGATTATCAAACTTACACTTTATTAGTTTACTAGCAGACCCCGCAACGCCTTGTTGTGGCTCAAAATATATCTATTATAAATGTATAACACTTCCCCCGTGGGGGAAAATTTTTCGAAAAATCCCTTTTTAGTGTACATTCTCTTGACGAACTCTATTAAAACGCTATCAAAAAACGCAAAAAACCGCATCTAAAATAGTATAAATAGAAGCAGGGTTCTTTACAGTAAGCCTTACGGGGAAGGCTTACCGTAAAGAACTGTTCATCTCCCATGTTTAACGGAATAATATACAGCCTATGTCCACCCTGAAGTTCCATTCTAAATATTGGCGAAAGAATTTTTGAAATCGGATGAGTAGTTTCGGAGATTATCTGCTGCATACAAACTAACATACAAACAAACATTACCTCTTTATAATATTAGTATAGATGAATTTGGAATTCAGAAAATTAAATGTCTCATATTTAATTAAATTTTTACAAATTACTTGAGAATAAAACTTTAGGCCTATTTTTAATTTTAAATGAAATTATTTAGGATGAGATGACTTTTGACGTGCTTAATAAAATGCAATATATGGATGCGGTTATCAACGAGACACTGAGAAAAACACCAGCATTGATTCAGTAAGCTAAAGAATTTTTTACTTTTTATTTATCTTTCTAACACTATTTTATTTTACTGCTTTAAATATAGCAATATTTATTGATATACAAATGCAGTCAACAGAAACTGTAAATTTTGATTTTGTAAATAAATAAAAAAATAAAAATATATTGTTATATTATTTTGAATATATTTATATGTTTTAATGCAGTTATTTATTAAAATAGATTAGTAAAATCATATATTTGCTTTTATTAACTACTGTTACCTTTCCCTTTTCTGAATGTCTCGAAATTTCGATAAAGTATAATAACAAAAATTACAGTTAATATGAAAAAATACTTTTGTTTGTTTGAATTATAAATAAAAGTAAAATGTTTTATTAAATTCGTGATAATTTAAAATGATAGTTACTGTTAACATCATCAAATATATATTTAAACTTAATTTTAATAAATATCCCACTATTAAAAGAATTGTAATATTAAACTAATTAAATAAACTACATTTATTCATTTAGTTTTATTAATAAATTAGATTATTCAGAGAATGCACTGAAGAATATGAATTACCAGAGCTAGGTATTAAAATACCAAAAGGAATGAATATTGTAGTTCCTATCTATGCAATGCATCATGATAAGGAATTTTTCCCAAATCCGGAAAAGTTTGATCCTGACAGGTAACTGATTTTTATTTAACAACAAAATATTCAATAATTCTAAATAATATACTGTAATAGAAGTTATATAAATTTGAATTTAGTCATTGAAAACGTGATTAAAGCATAATTTTGTCTCGTTTTGATGATCTGTAGAAAATAATATAGATATCAAGCAACAACTCTTTCCTGTTTTCTGTCAACCTGTGATATGATCTGTCCTAGTCTGTTTCCTTGACATTAAATTCTTTTATTTGAAGTTGTTGGAATATTCAGTCAATAACATGCTTTTTAAATGTGAATTTCGATACTGTTTACTGAAAAATTACTTACAAGGGCGAGTCAATTCAAATTTTGATTAATTTTTCAGTGTAATTATTTAATTTATTATATGACACGAATTATTATGAAATTTCACATTAATGATATTTCAGATTCTTGCCAGAAAATCGAAGTTCAATTATTCCATTCACTTATCTTCCATTTGGGGAAGGCCCAAGAAACTGTATTGGAATGAGATTTGCTTTAATGGTAATAAAAATGTGTCTCGTTTATATCTTTCGCGATCTTCGAGTGGAAGCTACAGAAGAAACGAAGGTAAATATTTTATTTTTCCTAATTAGGCTAATATGTTTGTTTAATTTGTTCATAAATAATAAAAACATGCAATTATTATGGTACTGTACATTTCTGCAGTAAATTAATAAATTTATTATTAAATACAGCTTTGTTTATTTATGTTCATATACTCTTTATATATATGTTACCGCTAAAGCTCGAAATCCGTTAATGTGTACATTACCTAGCTAATCTGCAGATTAACTAGGGTGATCCGTTAAAGCTGCGAAAATTGTTCAATTTCTCAAATTACCTAGGTAATTTGCAGAGTATCTAGGTAATCTGCACATTAACGGCTTCCGTATCGTTAAAGTTCAAAAGTTTGTTTCTTTCACTTCCTTTCCCCACTCCTTCTTTTTACGTAGATAAATTTAAATCCTAGAATGCAAGCAAGCACCGAATTGGTGAGTAAAATCAAGAAAAGATTCTTCGCAAACCTCTTTAGCGAAGATTTAAAATATAATACGTAGTGTTTTAATAACAAACCAAAGTATGATTCCATAATTGAAGATGTAAAGCAAATAAAAGTTTCCAAGAAGAAAGAATCATCTCGAGATTATCAAATAATTCAAAGGTGTGATGTGTTGACTGTACGAGGCTGTGAAAAACTCATTGAGCCGTTGTCAGATGCGCGAGAAAGGTTTGAAAAAGTTTGTCCATGCCGGAGAATTGTTTGACATTCGATAAAAACTGAAGAAGACCTTGAAAAATTAGAAGATTCACAAGAGACTGTGATTATGAGATCACAGTCAAATCTTACTCAAGAGGACATTCCGTTATCCCCCGCTTCTACAGAATCACCTATAGAAATACAAGAATTTACCGATAGTAATCTTAAACTGCCTTCTATACCGTTGATTGATGATGCAGTCACGAAGAATATTCAGTTACCCTGCACCTCCAAGGAATCGCCTCTGCAAGTTGAAGAAGTCATCACTGAGTTACTCTCAACTTCAGCAGAATCGCCATCACAGTTTCGTACGGAGCCTGTAAAGAGCACTATACAAGACATAGTCTGTATTGTTTGCTCAAAAGCAGCATCAAGTGCTCACAAGTGTAAATCGTGTAATATGTTTGTTCACGCAGTTTGTGGTGAAGTAGATCCTAAAGAGGAAGGGTATGGTAAGAATGTATTGTGCATCATCTGTAAAAAGAATATGGATCAGAAAATACAGCGTGATGAAGCCAAGAAATGTTTAGAAAAGCAAGCAAAGAAAATGTTAGCAGTTTCTAATGCAAAGCACCCAAACGTCGATGAAGGTTTCGCTGTGAGAATTAAAGTACCCGAAGAAGACAGAGCAAAAACTGATGCACGTTCAATTTTAGCTGTGGTTCTTAGTAAAACAGAGGATGGCTTTTATAAACTTGATACTAAAACAGGTATTTTAAAACAATTGTATGCAAAATCTGAATTCAGTGTTTGCAAAGAGAGATTTTTAACGAAAGAAGATGGATGTCCCTGCTGTAGAAATATCTTTACGTCAAACAGCAATAAAACAATCCCTTGGTACTGGGCAGGGTTTCAGAAAATGTGACTGCAAATCTAAATGTACCACAAATAGGCGTGCTTGTCGCAAAAACCAATTGCTACGTAATTCAAAGTGTCACCAATCTTTAGATTGCACTAATAAGTAAGTACAATTTTATCATATGTTTTGCAAATTCATTTCCCTAATTGTAGTAATATTTTAAACCGTTTGATTTTTGTATTAAAGTTTTTTTAATTGATTGATGATTGATTCAATCAACTAATTTGTTGATTGTATTAACTTGATTCTTTAGATATTGAAAATTAAATAAATAACATTATGTTAATTTAAGCGTACAGAAACGTTGCTGTTGTTCCAGCAAAAATCTTATTTTTACTTTACCGAGTGCCTAGTAGGTAATTTGCAGATTACCTAGATAATCTGAACATTACCTAGGTAATTTGAGAAATGGAATAATTTTCGCGGCTTTAACGGATCACCCTAGTTAATCTGCAGATTAGCTAGGTAATGCGCACATTAACGGATTTCGAGCTTTAGCGGTAACATATATATAAAAATTATGATATTGATATAATATGTGAATAAATAATTTACTCTAAATTAAAAATAATCTAAACCAAACTTTTCAACTTTTCAGATATTAATAATAGTTTTTTAAATAAAAAATTAAATTCTATAATTAAATTCTAAATTAAAAATTAAAAATTCTATATCATCTTTACTTTTTTTTTTCCTAGTTGCCTCTGGAGTATTTTGCCGGCCAAGGTATTCTTAACCCGAAAAAAGTTATGATCAAATTCGAAAAAAGAAAATAAAATAATAATGTCACATAACAATGTGAAAATTAATGAATTTAATGTTTTTTACAATGCTTGTAATAAAAATGATTTGAAAAAGTAAATTTGGTATAAAATTTTTAATTAATTAGTACCGAACTTAATGTGGAAAATTGTCTATGAATTATCAATACAATTTTATTTAAAACAAGCAGTTTCGTACTTATTGTGACATCGTCACAATACCTGGACTGCAGTTAATAATTATATCTTAATTTTAAATTGAAAATAAGCTTTTCAGCTGGTTTCGATTTTCACTCATCTAACTCCGTTCTCGAGATTAATTATTATTATAACCTGCTTCCATAATTGTTAGATTTAATGATAATTTATGTTTCAGTATTTAAACATGTTATTTTTTAAGTATTTAATTCTTGCTTACCTATTTTAGTAATAACTATTAGTCAATCTTTATATTTATTTGAAGTTGTTTTTAAAATAATTCAATCATTAAAAATATTACAGAATTTTTGTCTGTTTTGTTGGGTTGCAATTTGAAAAATTTTAGACCTATAAATTCCCGCTGTCGTCCGTCTGTTTCGTTGTCTGACTGTTTTTCTTTAATCTCGAGAACGGTGTTAAATGGATGAAAAACGAGGCCAAATATTAAAAAATTACGTGCAGATGAACTATAAAAGAACTTCAGCACTAGAACGGAAGTCACGTGATTTTAATTCAAAAATATTTTCCAAAGTAGGATTACAGTCGACCCCCCTATAACGTACGTTCCTATAACGAAAATTCCTATAACGTAGCGAAAAAATTGCGGGAATATTCGTATAAAGACACTCGTAAAACGTCGTCGCCGACTCGTGTCGCGACAAGATTGGTCGAATCTGGACCAATAGTGGACGAGCAGCCGAACTATTTTCCGCCGTCCAGCGCCACGCTACGGAGAGTTTAGGCGGGTAAATTGAGTTTACTATCGTCTGTACAGTATATAAATTAGGTATCGTAAGTCTAATACAGCACTAATTTTATACATTTCTTGTGAAAGAAACATTTCTTATTCAACGGTCATAAAAATTATTTCTATTCATGATGTCTCCAAAGTTCAGCGAATTTTTCGCAGAAAAATAATTTATCAGAAAACGCGGCCGCCGTTTGGTGCGCTGCTCCGCGACGAAAACAAGGGTAAGCAACGGCGTAGTCGAACGGTGCACACTCGGTAAGTAATCCTACAATTTTTTGTTTATAGTGTGACCTTCCGGATCGGCACCTCTTTGGTACCCTGTCAGGATTGATGTGAGGACCCAAAAATGAGTCGAAATTAAATATTATTATTAGAAATTTATTAAAACAGAAACTAGAAAAAATCGTCTATTGTTAAAAACCGATCAAAAATCGAATTAGTTGTGTTAGTCATATGAAACCGCGACAAGAGAAAAAAAAAACTTTATTGATGTAAACAGAACGTAATAATTTTAAATGATTAATTAATAATTGTAAACAAACGATCTCCAGTAGAGATGGACCTTTGAAAAGTCGTTCATATGCATATAATTAGAACATAGAAATTTGGAAAAGAGGAAAGATTAATGACGAAAAAGGACATCGCGTCGTGTCGTTAAATTTCAAAAAACGTCACAGACTAGACAACAATGGTGGAAAATATGAGCGCAAGTTTCAAAGTTCCATCAACATTTTGCAGCCAGAATAACGGATGGTGTCAAGTAGATTCTTCAAGGCGGATCTTTCTCGTGACTCGAAAAGGAATCGTTTTTCGCTTAGAAACAGACGAGGGAGCCAATCAGAAAACAAATTNGTAAAAATTTTTCTGAAATTTTGGCTGAAACAAAACTGAAAATAGAGTAGAGCATGTCTCTACTTTTTACGCCGAAAAATTTTTACGCCAAAATTCCTCCAATAAAGAGAAGTCTTTCCTGTGACGTCGAAGTAGACACGTGGTTTTTATTCTAACAATGGCGGCAATGAGGGTTAACCCTACAATTGTGATGGTCTCGAAAAAACGAAAAATAAATGAAATAGAGGAGTTTATTGAATCCGTTCGACCAAATCAGTGTCATGTATAAAGACACTGTATTTAAACAACGTTTATGGATGGCTACAGGTGTTAAATTTCAAATAACAGGTAAGTCTAGTAGAATCGATATATAGGCCTAGTATTTATATCACACGTTCTTTATTTGAATTTGGAATACGAGTCTATTAATTTAAATTTTCTATATTATAGCAGAGGAAGTGTAGAAAAAATGGAAGGTACAAAGGAATAGATAGCCTATATGAGAGGAAAAAATTAATAAAATTAGTACTGTTGGTGGCAGTGGTGTTTTCTATTCGGCCAGAATTTTTACGTATGTGTGTTCTGGCATAAAAGCGTAAAACAGAAACTGAACTGAAAGCTGATTTCTGATTCAGTTTTCTGCCACACAATTTTACGCATGTGTGTTCCTGGCCTAACAGTTCACGAGAAAGCGTCATGTTGCTTTCGAGAAAATGTAACGGGAGACTTTCTCAGGTAGCTAAGAACAACAATTGTTGCGTAATTCGCGAAATGTTATTATTAAAGACTATTTCTAATATAGGAATTTCTGCTATCTTACAATAGCATAGTTTATACGGATTATTCCCAAAAAATTATACGTGTTTTGGAAATGTTGAGTCGAATTAGTCTAGAATCGGTTAATTTTATAGAAGAAAACCTTTCAAACAGCCTTAGTCCGTAAACTTCACACGTGTCGGGCTACGATTGGCTCATGTATTTAAGGATTCCTACAACGTAAAATTCGAATAACGTGGAACGTATCTAAGCGTTATAGGGGGTCTACTGTACATGGATAACCGGCATGACTGTTTTTATCAGAAAAAGTATGATGCCCAGGGGCAAGTCACCACTAATTTGAAGTAGAAAAATGTTCATAATAACCTTATTTTTCAAAAAGTTTCTTTTGGATTAAGTATTCTAATTTACTATTTAGTTCATAACTTTTTTTAATTTTTAGTTTTTCTTTCTTTAATTTTTAAATTTAATTATATAAATAATAATTTCCTAAACCACAAATATAATAATTCTTAAGTTGTGTAAATTTATTATAGCATTTATTATGACAATTTCTATTTTTAATGTCAAATTATATAACATTTCATTTATATTGATAATTTTAACGTTTTTTTTTTTTATAAAATTATCTCTTAATATATATTTTTAAAATGAACTAAAAGTATTTTGTTTTTACACTTTTTTAATTGTTTTTAAAAGATATTATTTCTTTACGCGTACTATATTAACAGATTAATAATAAACTGTAGCCATTAATTTAAATTTAATAATTTTTAAGTGATAAATCAGATAGGCTATTTAAAAATGTTAAATATTGTAAAATGAATTTTTAAAATCATTGAAGTAATTAGACTATTGACAGGGTTTTATATATAGCAAAATAAATACTTTAAATTATGTTTAATGTTTCAAAAACTTGTAGAAACTTAAGAAAAACAATATCAATGTTGTTTAATATTAATAATGAAATTAGAATTTGAAATAATCATAGTTTTCTTAAATGAAAAATTCTAAAAGATGTTTTTTATTTCTCAGTCCAGCGAAAATACTGATTTTCAAAATAATTTCATTTTTTATTAACAAATATTTTTATGGTTATACCGGTTAAGGTTATAAATTATATAATATTTAACTATACGATTTACTAGGTACAGTATACTAATAAAAAGATAAACCACAGTACGATCTTTGTTGAATTATTATTCAGAAAATTAAGTTTCCAGATTAATATTCATCAAAAACAGAAAAAAATATATTCGAAAAGCAAAGATATAACGATGTTTTGTTAATAATTTCAATTAAAAATAATTTCTCTATAATGAAATTACACGCGACAAATAATACTTTCCAATATGTGCTAGTACAAAAAGTGTACAAAATATAAAAGATATTGAATTTTAAAATGACTCACAGTGCATTTAACTTCGCTCAACTCAAGTCACAGACCAGCAGTAAGTTTAGGCGTGTGTTTATTTTACTTGCTATTATGCTATTTATACTCTGTTACATAACCTTCTTTTTAGTGTAATATTAAAAAAAAACAATACTTTGGAATATCAATAAATTTTATTTTCATGGCACTTTACACTTTGAATAATTTGATTGTGAAAATACTGAAAAGGATATGGATCATGAATCAAGACTAGAATGGTTTTCACCTGATATAGAAAGCCGTATAATTATGTGTGCATGGATGAAGAATCGCGACACTTACTTTAAATAAGCAACTATTCAGTTTAAACTCTTTAAATTTTAAATATAATCGTTAAAATAATAGAAAAGAGAAAATATTTACAATTATACTTATTACATTTATTATTTTAAATATTACAGCTTATTTATTATCCTTTAATATTTACGTATATTATAACATATAAATATATGTAAATATTGCACATCGTTATTAATACACATAACTATAACTATAATCATATTTGTGACTATTACCTTTTTTCACTATTATATTATATGCAAAACAAGTAAAAAACAAATTCCGTGATTATGTTGTTAAGGATTGTAATTTCATACTATATAACATTAGTAAGTATAACTAAAATTATATAGCTTACATTATACAACTCTGCAAAATTTTAATGTTCAATGTCCATTATTTTCGTGATTATAATAATGATTTTACGTGTTACATAATTTTGTAAAATTCTATGAAAAGGCTTGCACTAATATTCTTCACTAATGCATTACATTTGCTTCGAATGTTTTAAACGATTTTACGAAGATCACACGTTTAATGTTATATGAAGAGTAAATTATAGCTATATCGACCGTTTTAGCTATAATTTACTCTTCATTTCAATTTTATAATTAAATTTATCTCTTTCATTTTGAATAACACGGACGAATAATTGCATTAACATTAAAATTATATTTTTCTATTGTAAATGACAGAGTTCAACTGGTTAAATATTTTGCTGTTACTTTTATTCCGATCACACGTTACATTTTTTTATCAGCGAGAAATTAAATTAGAGATGAATTACTTTTAGATTTTTCTGGAAACAGAAATCGACGATAAAATGATTTTTACGTTTAGAATATGTTTATTATGAACAAATGAATTTCAAGGTTAGTGTCTATATTAAGATTTCTATTTATGTTAAAAATAAAATAAACATATATGTGAACGAACCTGTATTCTTACATATTTTATTCAATTATTAGCTTTTCTAACATAAACAGATAAAATATAATTCACTTTTTAATTAATATACTATACAAAACGAAAAGAAATTGTGTTTACACTCATTGCCATAAAAATTAGCGCATTAAGGAGTTGAACGAAATAGAACAAAATTGTAAATGTGTGAGTGAAACGGTGATATACGTAAGTGATTACAAAATGAAAGCAAAAGGATCATTTATTGCAGGAAAAACTACAAATTAAAGAAGATTCTAGCTTTTGCGTGCTCTTTATAGGCCAAGGAGGACGCACTTTAACGCCCTGTGCTAGCATTACACAATGAGCCATCATGCTGTAACTCTAATCATTTCTATATCTGCTTGAGATTCTGATCTACATGCCATGATTAGCAGCGATACGACAATTCTTTCTTGGCGAACTAATTTTTATAGCAATGAGTGTATTTGTACAATTGTGACGTCGCCGATCCGCGCGTCATGACAGGATATCCGAGTAATTCCGAATCGTAAGTGGGGACATCTCTTCAGTTACATAAATTTTATCCCGATTTATTGTAACTTAAAAATATAGCTTACAACAACAATATTCTTAGATCTGTCTGCGGAGACAAAATCTTCAGGTTTCCTTTTCTTACCGCAAGAGAGAGTCCTAAGAGAAAGGTTCTTCGATGTTCCTTTGGGAGTCGAGTCTTTTCTAAAATAATTTTATAAATGTTTGTGTGGTTCCGGTCCACTTTCGTAGCCTCGACTATGGGCTACAATATTTATCGAACTCAAGATATAGTAACTGTTGTAATTCATAGATGGCAGTGCTAGCATCCTCTCCTCTATAAATAGTGACCTTTACGTAGCTGTGTTACTAGTTGATTGTTGTACTTAAACCATGGAGTTAAATCAGTTCATTCCTTCCACATGGATTACACTTATTGCAAGTGTATTGCTGTTATGCCTTATGTAAGTATACGTTATTATCTACAACAATGTCTATTATTTAAAAAGTCTTTTTATCGAATCAATTAATATTTAATTACAATTCTTATTGTTTAATTTATTCAATGTGAATTAAATAATAAAGAAAATGTTATATTTGTATTTTCGCCAAAACTGACTAATTTAAATATTGTTATTAGCAGCTTATAAAATGAATAATTTTGCCAATATATAAATGATCAGATAAATAATTAGCCCATCAATAGAAATAAGTTAATAGTAATGAAAATTATATGTTAACACAATTTAAATATTAGTCATAGTGAGTTATCTCGTGACCAAATGATTATTTAATTAAAAAAATAGCATTGATAAATTACATCCTGCTCAATGCCATCTGCTTTCTTAAAAATATTGAATTACGTCATTGAATAAACAATGATTAATTACGTAAGAAGACTAAAATTGTATTGTATCCATAATATTCGAAGGCTTTAACTAGAGCTACTTTTATGTATAATTCGATCAATTTTGTAAAAATAAAATTAAAAATAATTATTTTACAATTGGATATTTAAATAATAATTTTTAAGTTATAAAAATAAAACTTATTTTATATAATTGTAATTGATTTTAGTTATTGCTAACCATTATAAAATAATAGTAACATTATAACTAACTAATAAAAACAGAATACAAATTGGTGACATTGAACTTTGAGAATTTGTATTTTATCATATTTATGAAGTACAGTAATATCTAGAATAGAATCTTGAGATTTATTTATCTAATTTTATCATAGATTAATTCAATGAAATGTGTTAGAGCTGGGTTGTCCGAGTCTGAACTGCTAACTAGTTCATTTTGTATATTTACGAATACGGCTTTTCACAGAACAGAACTTTTTATCTGGATTTGTATTTGAACGAAATGAAAATGTTCCATAAATTTTTAGGAATAAAGTAGAGCCTCGATTATCCGACTCAGTTGGGGACTGGGGTTGGTCGGATAATTGAAAAGTCGGATAACCGAAAGTATGAAAAAATCCATTATTAGTATAGTATATTAGTATATCCCATGTAATTAGTATATTAGTATATCGCTATTAACCTACTTCGCGTTGAATTTTCATCGATGTTAAGCCTAACAAAAATCTTTTAAAATAATAATCGTCGCTATTGTATCGTTAAAAATTAGAAAATTAAGCCTCGTTTAAATACTGGCTCCCTTTCATGGTCGAATGAATGTTGCCAGCTAAAACACGTAAAAATAATATTAAAGTAGCCAAGACATTGCCAAATATTGTAGCGCCACATCACTAGCGGACTAGAATTTGCCGACTAGGACGGTCGGTTAACCGAGGTGTCAGTTAATCGGGTCGGATAATCGAGGCTCTACTGTAATTAAATTAGTTTCTGACTGTGTGGTTATTTGTATCGTATTTATCGGGCGTGTGCACTCCGTATTGGAACTGAAGATGTGCCACATGTCTCCCAGATTTCACCTGAAATGTTAAGTGCGGCGTTTGATAACGCAGTTTTACAATTGCAATACGTGGTCGATAGCGTAGGATCCTACATTGAACACATACTCTAAATGTGTAAAATGTATTTTTATTCTTCCAATAAAATTTTATCCACCTGTCTTATAATTGTCATCATTTCTCCTCCATATTTCCGTCATCATATTCTCTGGTGGTGAAAATTTAAACTAAGTTTTCCGTAAATCTTTTTCCCATAATATGTGTTGCATGTGTACCGAGTTTCATTCGATTCGGTTCAGTAGAATCGGCTCATTACCGTCAGTTTAATTCTAAAATATAAAACAATACAGTACAAAAATTGAATTTCGATTTATTGTGAACTCGTTTGTTTCATTTATTACATTCATATTAACTAAATTTTTCATTAATTATAAGATTTTACATTCAATAAATAATTTCGATTAAGAAATCAAAGATTGTTTAAAGCAGCTAAACGTTTTCTATTTCCAGAACAAAGCTTCATTAATAAGTAATCTAAATTATTAATTGGAGATTTACAAAAATTTGAAAGAAAAAATTTAATAACTTGAAGTTTAGTAATTTTAAATATATTTTATTTGTTTTTCTATGTTTTAAATTCAAACAATCATTCTCATTCTTCAGTTATTTTAATTTATATCATTTATCAACGAATTTTATTAGGATATATTCTATATATTCAATATTAAGCTTTATTTAAATAATGCAGAACAATTAAAGTATATTTAAATGGAATGAATTACTCAAATGAAATTAATTCAGTTTAACAATTTTTTTTTAATTTTATATTACAGATTTCAACAGTGTGTTTTTAATGATATGACTGCATCGATTTTCCAAATAAACCGGTTTAAACAACGGTCAAATTCAAATACATTGTTTCGATTATAATATATTTAATCGTGAATCAAAAGTAAAAATCAGTATAATAAACAAATTAAATAAAAAAAATAACCCTATTATCTCAGTACATTGGTACTCGTAGTTTGAACACTTGAGAGTTCTAACGCATAATTTGACAAAAAATTTGCTTCGGAGTTCGAACTGCGTGCACAGAGAAAAAAAATGTGCTGGAAGCTAAATACAATCTGTAGAGCGCCAAGTCGTCTCTCGCTCTTTCTTTATGCTTGTATGTTTTCAGCTCGTTTTTCGCTTTACACTTCTGATGTTTTGCGTGCTATTCGTCAATTTTTAACAATTTCTTCCTGCAATTTTAAGAAATTTGCTGGATTTCCGGGGTTAAAAAGCAGCAGGGATCCCGTTAGAGAAACTCTACATGGCTTCCGAGAAGTGTGTGGAAACAAAGAGCTCTAAGGAAAAGATTGTAATATCGACGATTGACATGAAAAAGGAACTTATCTATCACGAAGCATTGAAGCGGTATACGTGTGGCAGATCTGGCAGCCGCGAAATTAGTAAATGCAGTTTTCATTTCATTATACAGTATTTGCGTATTTCATTTATTGTTTTTCAGTTTTAATTTATTATTTAGGGCATTAAATTGTGTTATTGTTACCTTAAAATAGCATATACACATAATTTTTAAGTTTAAAATTTAGGGTCTGGGAATGGATTCTTAGGATCACTTTCCGTTATTTCTAGGGATAACTGATTGGAACTTCGAACGAATCAGAGTTCGAACGGCTTTCTGAAATAAATTAAATTTGAAGTACGAGGCACCACTGTATTTTTGTATTAAAAATGATATGTTCATGTTATAAAAATCAAAACAGTTATCTTGATAGCGCACACAGGTTAACTTCTGGCACCGTTGTTTATTGTTTGTTAAGTTATGATAACGCAACACTTGGAGATCTGCCTAGGGGGGATGCCTTCCAGGAGATGTTTTTAAGGAAAACTGGCCCGTTTAGGCGTTACAGACGCGGAGAAAGCTTCGTTGTTTACCATCGTACATTATGCCAATTACTGCACTCCAAAGATAAAAGCAACCATCTGGATGACGTTTCTACTGTGGAACTGCCAGATATTTGTATGCGTAAGATGGGCTGAGGATAACCTTTAAGGAAATTTAAGAAAGGCCAGATTACGGCTTGGGAAGATTGTGGCAGTCAGTGTTAATACACAGATTGTAATCGATTGCTAACATTTTAGTAATCGATTTTATCTGTGGATTACCAAAAGATAATACATGGCAATTTTTGTTGTGCTATGCTTATCGAGTTAGCGGTTTTTCTTGGATCCTGTAACAAGATAACGCATCTGCTCATACAGCAAAGGCCAACTAACTCACTTGATGTGAATCCATCGGAGAACGTTCGGATCATCTTACTTGTTAGTCAAGATAGTATATGAAAATACTATATCTGAAGTGTAAGAGGAGATTGATCCAAAAATATTACTAAAGCCTGTATACTCAATGCCATATCGCATTTTTTTCTGTGGTTCAGAAATCTAGAGGCGACACAACAACTAATTCTAATGGTCATATAATTTTGAAACACCACATTTCATAGAATACAGATTTATTTTTAGTTTTCAACTAAAACTAAATCTGTATTCATCCTTCTTCAAGCCAAAGTGATATTTATATGTCGTATGTAGCAATTTGGCTGCAGTTTTCCAATTGCGGACCTACTCTCGCCGTCTGTCGTCTGTCTGACAACGGAGTTAGGTAGATTAAAATGTAAACCAGATACTAAAAGCTTAGGAGCCAGAGGTCCAGAGTAACTATATACGAATTTCTGGACTGGATGGGAAGTCACATAATTTTTTAAATTACAAAATGATTGTCACATTGCTGGGGTCCAATTTTTAATGTCGCAATTAATAATTGCTCTTTAAAAACTCACTTTCTAATGCTAAAAGCTGATTAGTTGTTTCTATCAATCATTTCTAACAAAGTTATATGTGAAAAGGTGAGTAGTCATATCATTATGAAATGCACTGTAATTTTTCGTATACTATATATAAACTCATTCTTCATATAAATATTTTTAGTTATCAGAATAGAAAATTTCAGTACTGGAAACAACAAGGAATTCAATGTGCAATTAATGGAATTTGCAGTTTTGTATTGGAAACAACCAAAGCGTTGAAAAAGGTATTTGATATTTAAAATATACATATTTTAATTTTATGATAAAATTGTTTAAACTTGCTGTTAAGAGATTTGATTGAGATCATGGTCACCGCCCAATACCAAATTTGTTGGATGGCCAAAAAAAAGGTTTTGATCACATATGTAGATTTCATCCACAAAGAGATCAATCACCTTTACAATCAATCACTTGAATTGTTACATGAAAAACGCTTACAAAATAATTTCAAAGTTTCTTCTCTCGAGTAGGATGTTTCGAGAGCGAATAGGTCTAAATGTCTCTTGTGGTGGACATACTCGATCGTAGTGTTCACGATTCTTTGTGGATAGACAGATTAATTCGGCCCCGGAACGTTGTGATCGCTGATACCGATGCTGGATCAAGCCGAATCGAGAATATCGGGAGCACCACGCACAAGTATAGAGGGAGCAGTGACACTTTAGAGCATTCGGGTAGCGACGAGCAGGTCTTCATATACGTATGAAGCAAAAGACGGTGTAACAAACGACCGTCTTGTCGTTTGGACACGAGATTTTTTCTCTTTTCGTTCTAGATAGTCCATTCCGATTAGTAGCGATTTCGATTTTTTCATCCTTGTTTTTCAATAGGTCTCTTTCTTGTTTCCGAGTGGAATTCGAGACCCACAGATTGCGAGTGAGATCGCCATCGTTGTTTAAGACGATGCTAAAGTTAGATACTGAGACGGCCGATCTTGGGACTAAAGAAAAGAAAAATGCATACAAGAATGTAAATTTGTCTTAAACAATACTATTTTCTTTTTCTCTCCGTTCTTTTTCTATTAAAAACAATAAATTTCGACTAATTTAGTAGGGTACCGGGACATCAGACTACGTAAATTAACTAAATAGTTTAATTTTATACTTTATTAATCTTTTATTTCTATAAGATTCATATTTAGTGGCCTACATAATAAACAAATGCCAGATTTTTCTTAAATACGATAATAAACATTTAAGATCGGTCTATCCAGTAACAAAACGATCATCTGTATTTCCGTATTGACCAACAATTAATTAATTTTTCTCCGACTTAGAAAAAATAATACATATTTAATTGCCATAGATAATAGCCCGACATCGATACAAAGATGTTAAATTTTGGATTATCCTCTATCAGGCTCTGAATATGTTCAATTGAAGAGCGATCAAGCAATCTGGCTTGCCAAGAAAGAATGTCACAACCATGAAGACATTCATCTGAGAGGTGCTGTGTGTACGGGCATTGTCTTGTTAGAAAGTGTGTCTGCGTACTGCAAAAGGAACAGTATCACTGCAGTTCTCAAAATGTCAACATATCGCTTTGCTGTGATTGTCCTGCTATCAAACGAAGTGGTCCACCGAACCATAACTCCCTGTTGTCGGGTCGTCTGACATTCGGCAATAACAGTGGGATTCCGATGATGGCCAGAATGTCTCCATGCAGGTCTGCATTGGTCATTTGGCTCAGTTCAAAGTAGCACTCATCACTGAAGACAATACATCTCAATCAGAACAGTTCCACATTAATCGAGCACAGCACTACTGTAATCGTTCTTGATGTTGCCTGTGGGTCAATGACAGCCAGCATAATGGACGTCATTAGCATAGATTCTGCTCGTGTTGTCGTCTAGTAATGGTGCTAGTGGTCACTTTGGTATTTGTCATCATCGATCATCCAATATGTGACCATCTGATGCTGTTACAGCAGCTCAATCACTCTGTCTTTTCATTCTGTCCTCACTCTAGGACGTCCAATGCCTTCTTTTCTCTGGACTTCGCCTTTCACGATCCATTCATGTCAGCATCGTCTAATTGTCACATCACTCAAACCCAAATGTTGGGCGATTTTCCACCCACCCTCTTTTAGTCTAATGACACGTTCTCTTTCAAATTCCGTCATACAGTTGTAGAGGGCACAAATTCAATGGCATTGGCATTGTTCTCAATCAACAACGGTCATCACAGTCAAACTCCACCAGAAGATTGGTCCCTCAAAGAAAGAATCACATGAAAGAATTATATACATCATTATGATGGGAACTTCCAATGCTCTGTAGCTCAGACTATTCATTCATTGAGTGTTAATTATTTATCATTTGCATATTATATATCGAAAGGTATTTAAATACGTATGACATTTTATTGCGATTGAATTATTTTTTCAGGGTGCATCGATTTTTATTTTTTGTCAAAGTGTATTTATTATTCAAAATAAATGTAAAAATTCTTAAAATATAAATTTTATAAAATTTAATAATTGATTATTATATTTAAAACATAATAATTTAATATTAAAGGAAATCCTCGTTAGTTCGAAATTCAATGGACAAAATAATCATGAATTCGTATTATCCTAGATTTACACATTTCTGTACGTACAGTATGCCAAATGCCACGTAACTGATGTAATTTATTAAATTAATTAAGCAAACGAAATACGGCAACGTATATACGACGCTATTTTCGTTTATTAATAATTTATAATAATAATGTAAACTGTAAGTAAATAGCACGTGTCTGGTGAGAATCACAGGCTATTAGATTTTATAAAACATAAAGCAGAATTCTTCGAAATGTAGCCCAATCTCGCAATCTCGAAACCCAGCCGTATTTTATGAGATAAGAGTTTTTCTCTTATTCTATGGGTAAGATGACATCCGAAAATGCTTTACTCTAGTCTACTGAACGTGGCTTTGCTTTTAGAATGCTCTTGGTATTCTTTTTAGTACGGGAGCACTTAGATCTAAACGAACGAGTTAACACACGCATATCACAGTTCGGACAGAATTTTAACTTCGAATTTCGAAGTAGCTGTATTTCGAACTAACCGAATCCCTTAACATGTAATTCTCTATATCCCCGGCCGGGACAAATAGTAGAGTTACGTACTAACGGGATTTCGAACTATCCGAGTTCGAATTAACGAGGATTTCCTGTAATTGTGTCCGTGTTAATATTTTCAAATTTTTGTTTTATTTCCACAGCCATTGCATTTAATAGAGCTGGAATATTATAAAAAATATGGTCGAATATATGGGTGAGTTTAATAATTTACAGTTCATATCATTCTTCCACATTCTAAATCCAATAAAAATCTTTTATGTTGTCTATGTACTGTACATCAGATATAGTAATAAACGTCTAAGCAAACGTTATTATTAATGTAATCTTCGGATCATTATCGAAATTCCGGTCGTGATTCTAATTTTTGAATTTATGTTCAGGAGATTGAATTCTACCTGCGGACAATTTCATCGACAGACAATTTAAATTTCGCGTTGCCTATCTCATCAAGGACTTCCAGAGTTCATTGCTAACTGTCATCCATATACTGAATCTGCAGTATTGAACTTCAGCAATCTTGCGGACACAGGAAGTGATAAACGAATTTCAAATGTCTCGTTTACATTTTTTCGGTGACACTAGTAAGATTCTTGGTCGGCATGTTTTGCAGCATTTCAGTGGAGAGTATTCCGTAAAGAAATATGTCTATTGGATCCCTGTTACGTTACTATCAAATCGAAAGTTTCGTTACCTGGCATTCACATAGTCATATAGCAATTTCTCTATCACCCGTGTTAAAAAATGCATCTTATTTCCACAAATAGATGTTTCACTACAGGACGCATTCAGTAGTGTAAATGTGCCCATTTGTGGAATGAATTTTATGTTGCAACTGGTTTGCATCATCTTATTATCTTTTGAAAATTAATCATTATTAAGAAATATATTTATATTATTAACTTTTTTACATGGGTAGTGATCTTCAAAATGTTATTTTAAGTATTGCCTGAGTAGAAATACAGAACGAATAGGCGTTTGATACGAACTTGTTGCAAAACTCGCAAGGAAAAAATTGTTCATAAGTATTTACAAACAGAGATTAAAAGAAATATTTAGCTGATATAAATGCCAAACTTTAACCTGTACTAATACCTGTAGTTTATTCATCTCTCTGTATCAGCAACGTTTTTATTTATTATCTCTTTTAATAATGGTTAAGCCACTGTTGGCTAACATTAAAACGTATATTTTATTATTAGCATGTGTAGCTTATACTTTCAGTGAAAAGTGAATATTATGTATTCAAAATTTTTATATCGTCAAATGAGCGTCATTCCTTTGATTCTCGAAACATTTTGCAATTATTTAAATACAAGAATGAGAGTTTTAGATTGTCCTGTCAGGTATCTGTCTGTTCGGCGATTGGACGATTTACCGTTTTCGAAAAGTTTTTCGGGAAACTGTCTTTCTGTACTGACAAAATTGTAACGTCAAAAGTTGGGCAGTTTATAACTTAATTTATTCTTCATAGTTTCGATTTATTCAAAAAATGATTGTAAACCAAAAAATGTCCGGACGTGGTACGGCCTCTTCTTTGAATTACTTTCTTTAAATTTGCTTTCTTTGAATCTGTTTAATTTAATATAAATTCATAAAAATATTCTAAACTCATTTTTTTAAAGTTCGTCATCGGATCAATATTGTGATGTTGAATATAAATAATGATCTCATTGTTGATAAATTTTGAAAAAAAAAAACGTTTTTTAATATATCTGTGTTATAAGAATATTGATAAATTTTTAAAATTACTTCTATAATATAATATTTCTACGAATGATTCAAATTCATATTATTATATATATTGTTTTTTTTCGTAGGAGATTTTTGGGCGTTAGACCAATTATTTGTATTGCAGAACCTCATATTCTGAAAAAAATTTTTGTTAAAGATTTTAACACATTTCATAATAGAGCGGTAAGTTGCTAAAGATGTTTTACAAATCGCAAATTTGAAGTAAATAACCTCAAATTCGCGTCATATTTGTCAAAGCTTTTATTTTTGTGTTTTCCTCTTACATGCCCTACGTGGTCTGTTGAAGTTTCTAGATGTTAAGAAAAAGTACTTGGCAAAACTCGCTTTGCCAAGTACAGTACTTTCTTCTTTTTTATGCTTGAGCGATGAGAACACGCGAATTAAATAAGTACAGTACAGTATTATGATTTTGAGTTTTTCAAGTTGTGATAACTTTTGTATTTATTTATTTTTGGAATTAAAAAAAGAGTTAAATGGTTAAAAAAAAGGAGTTAAATGGTTGTTTTAAGACGGAAGATAATGTTCTAGCTTTGCAAATTTAACGTCATGACGGTTAGATTTAAAAAATAAAAGATAGAAAATTAACTACGAAATAAATTAAATTATATTTATTGACAAATTTTAATTGAAAATTTTAAAATAATTATTAAAAATATTAAATAATCTAAGAAGTATATAAGATATTCATTATCAGACGTAATTTTAATATATCTAAATTAATATCGATTTTGTTTTAATAAAAATAAAAAAAAACATTGTTTAAATATTAAAAAGGCTTGTTACTTTATTTTATTACTATTGGGTTGTTCGGAAAGTAAGTTCGTTTTTTTTCAGTGGAAAAAACGCAATATTTTTATAATAAATAAATATTTTGTTGAATTATTTGTTGTCATCGTTTCTGGTAATAGCACGATTTCACATTCATAAAAGTTTTGATCGTTGCTTACAAAAAACCGATCCAAGTGATTTTTGACATTGTCATTTCAAGTAAATGTCTTACAGTTAAAAAAAATTGTATAGACCGGAACAAGTAATAATCTGAGTGTGCTCGATCTGGCGAATATGGTTGGTGTGATAGCACGTCCCATCTAAGTTATAACAGTTTCTGACGAGTTACCAAACTTGTGTGAAATTTGACATTATCGTGGTAAAACACTACACCTGTTTTGTTGATCAATTCTGGCCGCCTTTTCTGTTTGATGATATTACTCAATTTGTTTACTCGATGGCAGTACACTTTCGAATCAATTGTTAAATTGTCTGGTAAAAGCTCCAAAAAAAATTTCCTTAATATCCCACCAAATAGAGCATTTCTCTTTAAGAACTCGTGGAATTCATATATCGAGCTTTGAAACGAAACCAATTTGTTTCAAGTACTCATAAACAGTTCAATTTGACAAATTTAATCTCTTAGTGATTTCACGTGTTGTTATTCCGCAGTTTGCTTCAATCGGTACTTTTATTTTGTTTTCATTGGCTTCAATTGGCCATCCATAACGTGGTGCATCTTCAATACTGAAATTGCGAGAACGAAATTTTGTAAACCAGTTTTGGCACTGTCGTTCTGTCAACACATCTCCACCATACATGTCACACGATTTTTTTCTTGCTTGAACGGCATTTTTATTTTTTTGGTAATAAAAAAGCAAAATATGCCGAAGATGCTGCTTTCGATCTTCCATATTTGATGGGGCACAAAAAATAAACAATTGCACGAAATCAAACAAAATTTTTTACAAATAAGCCATAAAATGCTAGCTGTCAAAATATATAATGATAATACGGTTTAGAACGAAAATGGCGGGAAAAATACCACTAATCCGTCTAGTGGTAAAAAAAACGAACTTACTTTCCGAACAACCCAATATTTTTATTACTTAAGTAATAAAAATAGTAATAAAATAAGTAATTAGTATTAAATAAGTAATTAAGTAATAAGCTATATTTTTAGAATGTACAGACGGGCAATCCATTATTCGACAAAACAATGTTTCTTGCACTTGATGATGATTGGAAAAGAATTAGATGCATTGTGAGCCCAACCTTCAGTAGCGGAAAAATGAGAAAAGTAAGCTAATTTCATTTGATTAACAACCGTAGAAGGTTTTATATTTAAAAATTGTATTTGGTTACTTAAATTCTGAAAATGACTTTTAAGACTTTTAATGATAAAAGAATCTCCCAAAATGTAATCGATTCTCTGCGGATTAAATATATCAATTAAACTTTTCATTCATTAATTGAACATGTATTATAAATTCAAAATGAACGTTTCTTATATTTTCAAACTAATTAAGTTATATGCACCATGTTTAAACATTTTCAGATGGCTTATTTGGTTAAAGAATGTGCGGAGAAATTCTCAGAAAAATTGAAGAAAATCGCCGATGAAAATGAAAATAATTGCATTGATTGCAAAAAGTAAATTAAATATTATTATTATATTTAAAATATTATCAACCTGGGAACAAAAAATAACACTTGTAGTACAGTAAAACCTGTGTAAACCGGAATCGCACTATACCAAATTATTTTTCATTTTGGTAGATTTTCATTTTGAACATGGTTTTTTTTTTTCATTTTTCTTTAATCTTTAAATTGTATTAGATAACTGTGACAAAGTACAGTACATTTATTTTTAAATTAAACTCACTTTAACATACGTAAAAAATTTCATTACTAAGTTTAATTCAAAATGATACCAACTAAACATGGTAACATTTCAATGCAAGAGTTGCCAAATATTCAACTGCAAAAAAATGTTCGTTGTATCCAGAACTTGTTCTAGATATTAGAATACTCGTACTTCTCGAATATTTATCAGGTCAAATCACAGCGAACAAGATAATTCGAATACTAAGAATTAGTATGTCTTTCTGCCTTGGAAAATTCTAATTTCCTTACCCTAATACAGATTACAACTTATTCTGTGATTTGACTTCTCGTGGAATATTAATGCTCTAATTAATCTCTAATTTAAATCTTTAATTACCAACAATGTTGTTCTACTTGCTCTCGAATACTTGGTACTAGTTAGACGCCTAATACTCTCTGCGAGACAAATTGGCAGCTCTATGTTACCTTATTCTCGTTGTTTTCTCGAATTACATTAGTTGTTTGTTCTCGTGAGCTCGATTCTCCCAAACCCATTCCGATTTGAAATTTTTCTTTTCTTAAAAGTATTTGATTCTGCTCCTGGTAATTAACTAGGAGCAGAATTTCAACAAAGACTAATATTAACAACAACCCTGTGTTTGTATGTACTGGTACTGTACCTTCGTCGTGTGATTTCCATTTCTCTGTCAAGGTATGAAATCGTTTTCGGAATATGGCTTATTATGCTCTTCTATGACAGTTATACTTATAAGCAAGTATTTGTCTACAAGTGAAATTTTAATTTTCCTCTTTATTCAGGTTAATATCTTCCTACTCAAAAACCTTTTTTGTTTTCGCATTGACAGATTTCCGGGTAAAAGTAAAATTAAACAGAAAATAACATTCCTTTTCAAAGAATTTTTCCCCAGTATATAGATTTCTGTTTTGGACAGGTTTTACTCTATTACTAAACAATCTGTCTGATTATTTATTAAGCCCGATTTATAATTCTGTTTATTATTTTGTAATAATACCATATATACCTATTAAATTCTGTGTACAGTATTAAAATTTTAGCACTTTTAAATATTCACTGTGGAAATGTAAGGTTTCTTTGCTTGCAATCTTGTTATGTAAGCAAATATTATGTTTATTAATTGGGTTGCAATTTAAAAAATTGTACACCTATAAATTTCCACTGTTGTCAGTCTGTTTGTCTTTCCTTAATTTTGAAACTGTGAATTTTAAGATCAGATATGGAAAGCTTAGGGGAGGAGGCTGCAATTAACTATACATGAACTTCCGATGAAAAATGGAAGTCATGTTATTTCGATTCAAATATTTTCCTCTGAAAGCAGTTAATAGATGATCGGCACGATTATATTGTTAAAAGAAAAGTATGATGTGCATGTTCAAGATACTACAGTAATAATTTGAAGTGGAGAGAATTTTAAATAAAATAAATTTACAATATGATAAAAAATTGCAGCCCTTCATTGTGACAACGTCACAATAAATGATCGCTTCTTAAATGAATGAAATATATTCAAAACTTTAAATTTTTAAGTTATGAATATGAAACGACATTTTATTCATACTGGTTTTATGTTATATATAATTCTACATTTATTTAATTATGGTATTTATTTTATTTTATTTTTCCTTACAAGTATTCTGAAGAATGGACTTCCTTGAATTAATTAATTTTAAATTAATTTTATATAAAATATTTTAAACTGCGAGTGTTTATTTATTTAACGTTTTTATTCGTAACGATATTGAATTAATATTTTCAACTCTTTTAGATACATTACTTGTTTCACTATCGATGTAATAGCTTCAACAGCATTTGGAACGAAATTATCTTCTTTAGACGATCCAAATAACGAGTTTGTTATCATGTCTCGAAAAGCAGTAAACAAAGATGTTACATTGTTAGATATGATTTTACGTAAGTATTATTATATTTTATTCAAATGATTTATAAAAATTTTCATATTCCTTAAAATTTTTTAAATAAAATATATATATTTCTATATGAAACAATTATGCAGGGCGTAATTTTAATTAATCAATCGCGTTTTGTGTATTTATTTAATTTTATTTAATTTTACAAATTTAAATTAAATAAAAATTCAGTGGCTTGTGTAAAAAATATAACTAAAAATACCTGTTCCATTAGAAGTAAGTAACAATAGAAAAAATATATGCATATTATCCTTTTAGCACTATGTGTGTAGAGCTGTTTCGTCATCGTATTAACACACTTAAATATTCTGTTGCTATCAAATACTGTAATATAAATAACTACAGTGAAAAAGTTATGAAGAATATCGAAAAATAATGTTTTTTTTTTATTATTTTCTTAAATGTGCAAGTTCATCGTTTGTTTCGGGGAATTTTAAGTAAAATAATGTGATGAAACTCTATAAAAACTAGTCTAATTTTCATGTCTCGATATATGGTCACGTTTATTACCCACTTTTCTCAGTTAACCTAAACTTTACTATGACATTTTGCATACATTCTCGTAATCTAATTTATTACAAGAAAAGAGGAAACACAATAGTCAAGAAAAGAAAAGTACTCGCAAAATGAAGTTTTGTTAGCGATAATTTCTTTGTAAATATCAATTTATAATACATTTAGTCAATATAAATCTATATAAATCGATAAATTCGATGCAATCTAAATCAAATTATGAAAAATTGACGTACAGAATTGTTATTAGAGTGTCTACCTGTTCCATTGCCGAATCTTGCTGAAAACTTAACATAGATTAAATAAAAGCAAAAAAATAAATAGTATACGCTTAATACTATACATATTCTGAATACGATAATTTAAACTTTTATGCAGGATAATCTATTATATTAAATAATAGAGAATTAAAATACAAAGTAAATGTATTTAATTTACAGTGAATATAGTTCTAACGTAAGCACGGTTCATTGAAGTGCTGTACAGAACAATAATTTAGTAGCCTATCAATAGACTGAATCAATACCGCACCGAATATGTTTATGAAATGGTAACTAGCTTTTAAATCAGGCTTAGAGGTCATTCAAATATAATGTCACTAATTTCTGGACACTCCTATGCTGATGTCATACATGATCTACCATATCCTAATATTAAAATCAAAAATTTCTGTAAAACTGATCTACAGAACGTTAATTTGTTTGTATTACCTGCAAAGGCAAGATTAATTTTAAAAATAGCCCAATAGAAAAACGAAATTCATTTATTTGTCACAGAAGAGATTGATGGCATTCTACTAGGTAACTCCTAAAACTAATAGATTTTATACTAGTATTTCAGTGGTATCTTCATCTGTAATCTATATCTGTCAAAGTTAAATTTTTGCCATTCTCATTTTATATAGTGCACGTTCTACTAGAGGGCATATTTAATTCAAATGTAACTATTTAAATAAGCATGAAAGTGTCCATTCCTCAAGAGTATACTGTGTATCTTTTATTTAGTCTTGAATCGGACTTATTATCGCTTCTGCACAGTGATGGACTGGCACACCGGGAAATCAGGAATTTCCCGTGAGTCATTTATTCGGTTAACTTTCTTTATTTTAATGTATTATATTTCACTTGAGAAAAATAAAATACCATACAAAATACAAGCACTGTTTATTGTATTATAATAGATATAGAAAAAGACTTATTTAATTCGGATCGTAAAGATACTCCCTATTTTCTCATGTATTGCCATTTAACATAAATGTAGAATTTAGTCTTCGTGGATGGCTATGTTTCCCAAGTTCGTCAACGCTGAATTTATCTATGTAGAAAACTATTTATATTTGAAACTACTGTGTAGAATACTACGTACATGTTTAATAAAGTGTCTAACGTGTGGTCGCTCAGATCTGACATTTTTTTAAACTTTAATCCTTTATAACAGCTCATTCAAATTTTTCTGGCCTTATAGTCGGCGTTTTTAATAGTTATTTTTCTTAGTTTAATATTTAAATGACAAATTTAAATAAAAATTATGTTTTTTTGACGTTTAAAAACAAAGTCTACGGATTTTATTGATTATTTTATATAATATAATCTCCAAATTCCTTTGTCATTCAAAGTGAGATAATTCAACTAATAACAAAATGATGTATATTAAGTTAAAATATTGCGATTAGTCTTTTACTGTCTTAAAGCTATTTGACTTCGAAATCCGCTAATCTAATTAGCTAAACTCATATTTTCTTGTTTAATATAAATTACTCACAACTACAATGCTTGTTAAAAGCTTGTAGTTGTGAGTAATTTAATAATTTTAATAGTAGTTCTAAATATTTATAAATTACTTGAAAATGTATGTATTTTGCTATTGTAACTCAACATTTTATAACTATACATTTTTTCCAGAATAACAATAGAGTATTCATTACAACAAGGTAAATTAGTTCGTGTTTACTGTGGCGCGTTATCCTATGGGCAAAAATAACAATTACCAAACCAATCTTTTATAAGAAAATATTTTTCCAGAAAACTCCTTCGAAGAAAAACGTCTGAAGTCAACATCTTACATGCTGCCCCTCTAATTCAAATTTGCCTGAACCCTGTGAATTTATTTAAAATTTTCGGTGTTTTTCAAATAAAAAAATTAAGATTATTAACAACGATAAACGTCACACGACGTCATATAATGCGAAGATTCAATTTTCGAACTTTTCACCTACGGCGGTGGAGTGATATATATTTATGATCCAGCATATAGACTCCATTCTTAAATTGAGAAATTAGTATAAATCGAAGTCAGTTCTATAGTTTGTTGGCCGTAACTTCGTGCATGAAACGAAGAAGTAAAGTGACCACGTTATCATTGTATGCTACAAAATGTATCTTTCCACATTACCTCTCTCATTGTAGAAGCAATAGCAGTGTCATAATAATAATGTTAACAACACTTAATTATTATAAATATAGTCTTGGAGACAATAAAAAGAGTACTTCGTTGGGAACTATTTATTGCGAATGCGTGCATGAAATTACAGCGAATGGACTACATTCGTATTAACACACTTTAATATTCTGTTGCTATCAAATACTGTAATATAAATAACTACAGTGAAAAAGTTATGAAGAATATCGAAAAATAATGTTTTTTTTTTTATTATTTTCTTAAATGTGCAAGTTCATCGTTTGTTTCGGGGAATTTTAAGTAAAATAATGTGATGAAACTCTATAAAAACTAGTCTAATTTTCATGTCTCGTCTAATTAATCTCTAATTTAAATCTTTAATTACCAACAATGTTGTTCTACTTGCTCTCGAATACTTGGTACTAGTTAGACGCCTAATACTCTCTGCGNACTTAATTATATAAAGCTCTGTACAGTATTTATAGCGATACCGCGACAATGGATTATGAAATGGTGAGCAGGAGACTGGGAAAATACTTAAGAAAAGGATGATTCATGACTCTGCCTAGATAGAGACACATGCGCAAAATTTATGAATTCAAATTTATGAGTTTTTAATTTTCGGACTTCTTTTATTAAGTATTTTCAAACCACGGATAAGGGAATTACTCTACTTACTATATTTCTGCCTATCAAATTAAATATATTAAATTACCTATCCCATTTTAAATTTTAAATAATAATTAAATTCACTTATAAAAACTTTATATTTGTAGAAAGCCTACGATTTTCTTCAGTTATTAATGGATTCACAAAAAGGTGTTTTGGAAATTTCTCCAGAAGAAGCCAAAGAAGAAGAAATGTCCAATATTAAAATATTACCAATACATAAAAGTATGTTTCGATTATATTTAAATACTTTTAATTTATTTAATTAATATAATTTTAACTGTACTTTCAGCCATGACCTCTGACGAAATGATGGCTCAATGCGCAGGATTTCTTTTCGCTGGAAATGAGACGACCACAAATGCAGTAGCTTTCGTCTTATATCACATGGCCTTATATCCGGAATATCAGGATAAATTAATTGAAGAAGTAGATGAAATCTGGAAAACGAATGTAAGATCAATTTTGAAGGATGCAATTTCAAAATTTACTTGAATTTAATGCTACATTTTATTATTATCAAACTTACTTTATTACTTTATAAATTTGGAATTTAGAAAATTAAATGTCTCATATTTAATTAAATTTTTACAATTTTTTAGGAAATCAAACTTTATTTAAAATTTGTTTTTAATTTTAAATATTATTATTTAGGATGAATTGAATTTTGACGTGCTTAATAAAATGCAATATATGGATGCCATTATCAACGAGACACTGAGGAAAAAACCAGCATTGATTCAGTAAGCTAAAGAATTTTTTTATTTATTTATCTTTCTGGCACTATTTTATTTTACTATTTTAAATATAGCAATATTCATTGATACGCAAATACAGTCAACAGAAATTGTAGATTTCTCTTAATTACAGAATTGCTGTATTGTTATGCGTTTTAACTAAATAATTCTATATATATTTATAGATATAATATTTCGTTCAGCAATTAAAATATCCGAAGGTTAAAAATATAAAATTGAATAAATTGTACGTTTTTAACCTTCGGATATTTTAAATGCTGAATGAAATACTACATCTATAAATATAGAATTACATATTACTTTGAATATGTTTATATATTTTTAATGTAGTTATTTATTAAAATAAATTGGTAAAGTTATATATTTGCTTTTATTAACTACTGGTAGCTTTCCCTTTTCTGAAAAATTATTTTTCAGAATGCCTCGAAATTTTTATAAAGTATAACAACAAAAATTACACTTAATAATGAAATATAATTTAGATTAAAATACTAATTAAAAACTTTTGGCAATAGTTTTAAAAAAAACGACAACATAAATTACTTACATAATTTCGTGTCTTTGTTATACAGTACATAAAGTAACTTAATAATTGGAATTATCTTGAAAAAATTTAACAAATGAAATTAATACCTGTATTATATTTTTATGAGATATAATGTATTTTAGTTTTGTCTCAAGCAGTTATTTTTGCGTTTCATATAGCAAGTTCTTGACTTACAAACATTGGTTCTAACTATTGTGAAAACTACTTTATTAAAATAAATTGTTTTTAAGTTTTAAAAATCAATCGCACTCTGTAATGGAATGATATAATAATTAAATATAGAAAGCAATATTATAGATTNAAGTATTATTTATTTTACTTATTTATTTTTTCATTTAGTTCTATTCCCAAAATTAACAAAACTGATAAAGATAAAATCTATCCATGAGTCATTCAGCTATTATAAGGATTTCGTTTTACATGTTATTAATCAAAGAGAAAAGGACAAAATGGTAAATTAATAAAATATTAAACTTTTTTGTTATGAGGATAGTTTATAGTTTAAATAAATTAATCAATATTATTAAATTATTTTTAATAATATCTTACACATTTTGCATTTATTGTTTGATTTATAATTTCAATTTTTTATTTAATCATAATTTTAATATAGGATACAGGAATAGTACTAGGTTCCAAGTCTACCCGCAAATGCTTTTAATCACGAATAATGCCAAATACGCATATTGAAGATACAGTTTGATTTAAAAATGATAGTCGTATTAAGCAAACTTAATTATATAAAGCTCTGTACAGTATTTATAGCGATACCGCGACAATGGATTATGAAATGGTGAGCAGGAGACTGGGAAAATACTTAAGAAAAGGATGATTCATGACTCTGCCTAGATAGAGACACATGCGCAAAATTTATGAATTCAAATTTATGAGTTTTTAATTTTCGGACTTCTTTTATTAAGTATTTTCAAACCACGGATAAGGGAATTACTCTACTTACTATATTTCTGCCTATCAAATTAAATATATTAAATTACCTATCCCATTTTAAATTTTAAATAATAATTAAATTCACTTATAAAAACTTTATATTTGTAGAAAGCCTACGATTTTCTTCAGTTATTAATGGATTCACAAAAAGGTGTTTTGGAAATTTCTCCAGAAGAAGCCAAAGAAGAAGAAATGTCCAATATTAAAATATTACCAATACATAAAAGTATGTTTCGATTATATTTAAATACTTTTAATTTATTTAATTAATATAATTTTAACTGTACTTTCAGCCATGACCTCTGACGAAATGATGGCTCAATGCGCAGGATTTCTTTTCGCTGGAAATGAGACGACCACAAATGCAGTAGCTTTCGTCTTATATCACATGGCCTTATATCCGGAATATCAGGATAAATTAATTGAAGAAGTAGATGAAATCTGGAAAACGAATGTAAGATCAATTTTGAAGGATGCAATTTCAAAATTTACTTGAATTTAATGCTACATTTTATTATTATCAAACTTACTTTATTACTTTATAAATTTGGAATTTAGAAAATTAAATGTCTCATATTTAATTAAATTTTTACAATTTTTTAGGAAATCAAACTTTATTTAAAATTTGTTTTTAATTTTAAATATTATTATTTAGGATGAATTGAATTTTGACGTGCTTAATAAAATGCAATATATGGATGCGGTTATCAACGAGACACTGAGAAAAAAACCAGCATTGATTCAGTAAGCTAAAGAATTTTTTTATTTATTTATCTTTCTGGCACTATTTTATTTTACTATTTTAAATATAGCAATATTCATTGATACGCAAATACAGTCAACAGAAATTGTAGATTTCTCTTAATTACAGAATTGCTGTATTGTTATGCGTTTTAACTAAATAATTCTATATATATTTATAGATATAATATTTCGTTCAGCAATTAAAATATCCGAAGGTTAAAAATATAAAATTGAATAAATTGTACGTTTTTAACCTTCGGATATTTTAAATGCTGAATGAAATACTACATCTATAAATATAGAATTACATATTACTTTGAATATGTTTATATATTTTTAATGTAGTTATTTATTAAAATAAATTGGTAAAGTTATATATTTGCTTTTATTAACTACTGGTAGCTTTCCCTTTTCTGAAAAATTATTTTTCAGAATGCCTCGAAATTTTTATAAAGTATAACAACAAAAATTACACTTAATAATGAAATATAATTTAGATTAAAATACTAATTAAAAACTTTTGGCAATAGTTTTAAAAAAAACGACAACATAAATTACTTACATAATTTCGTGTCTTTGTTATACAGTACATAAAGTAACTTAATAATTGGAATTATCTTGAAAAAATTTAACAAATGAAATTAATACCTGTATTATATTTTTATGAGATATAATGTATTTTAGTTTTGTCTCAAGCAGTTATTTTTGCGTTTCATATAGCAAGTTCTTGACTTACAAACATTGGTTCTAACTATTGTGAAAACTACTTTATTAAAATAAATTGTTTTTAAGTTTTAAAAATCAATCGCACTCTGTAATGGAATGATATAATAATTAAATATAGAAAGCAATATTATAGATTGTTGGAAAATAAACACGCTCTCTATAAAAATAACTGGTAAACTTATTTACATTTAATTTTCCTACAACAAATTTGTATCATTTGCGCTGAAAAAAGTCAAACCGAATATAACTTTCAACGCAACTACTTGCTCTGTATTATAATCCTAATTTCGCCTAAGTGAGTTTGAAGTGAATAAGTAATAAATTAAAGAAAATCCGAAAAGATATTATACATACACTTCAAATTTGTGTATAACTTAATATAACGTTTGTTTACACCAATTCAACAACTTTTAGCTTCGCAAATTTTTTCTTGTATCAAAAATTATGTATTATGCTTCCATGTATTATGTAACACGCTTTCATGTATTATGAGATTTTAATCGAAAAATTTGTTTTATTTTTACTCTTACGTATAATTCAACGTTTTCTTAAGTTCATGATAATTCAAAGTGATAGTTACTAATATTACCAAATGTATATTTAAAATTAATTTTAATAAATTTCTCACTATTAAAGAAATAGTAATTTTATAATTTTAAAACAACATTTATTTATTTCGTTCTATTATTTAATTAGATTAGTCAGAGAATGCACTGAAGAATACGAATTACCAGAGCTAGGTATTAAAATACCAAAAGGAATGAATATTATAATTCCTGTTTATGCGATGCATTATGATAAAGAATATTTTCCAAATCCGGAAAAGTTTGATCCTGACAGGTAATTAGTTTAATTTTTATTTAATAAGAAAATTTCTAATAGTTAAAACAAATAATAGAATAACTGAAAACAAAGGCGTATAATGATTAAATGATCATTCAAATTTGTATTTCCTATTCCCTATGTGAGATGTTTAACATATTGGCATGATAATTCGGTAGGCTTCTCTGAAGTTATCAGCTGTATTAATTAACGATATTTTAATCGACACATTCGCATGAGTTTGTTGATGTGTTTATACGGCTCTTCAATATCAATTCTCGACTTCCAAAGAATGTCTTCAATCATGGAAATGCTTGAATTGTGAAAAAGCTTCTTTAATGTACTGTACTATACGTACGCTTATTTGAACATTTCATAAGTCTCGAAGTGACCTTCATGGGTCTATTCAAACATGCACATATCATATCGTGGACTGACACACTCTTTCAAATCTTCCTGCTTGTATCCGACAGCGTTATAGGTAAGATCCACGTGTTGCCCCAAGTCTGCACATTGGGAACTGGCTCAGCATATACAATACTTTTCAGATACCTCACAGGCAAAAATCAGGGTTGAAGCTCACCATTGGGTGAGCCACACAACAGTCTTCTCTCAATCAATCCATCTGTTGGGGAAGGTGATTCCATATACAGTAGAACCTCGATTATCCGGACTAATTGGGGATGAAGGTAGTCCGGATAACGAAAAATCCGGATAATCGAAACAAATACTTTAATCTGTCTTTTAATGATAATACAACACGTTTTCTTTTCGATGACATATCGGTAACATTAAAAATAAATACTGTATTTAAATCGTGATCAAATTTTCAAGAAACAAACGTTTGTATTGCATTTGGACTACTACTGACCAACGCTAACAGACTACCTATTATTTAAAAGGCCCTCTGGAGGCGCAAGAAGACGGATTTTATAAAATAAAAAGCAGTTGAAACTGCATTTTTATGAATAAAAATTTGACAAACTATTTATCGTTTTATGACGACTAAAACTTTTTCGTCGCGTTCGCGGCTTTTAAGTAATGGATAAACCTTCGAAACGCGAGGCCCTTCGGACCGTGAGGCATAGGCGGTGGCCCACGTTGCCCATGCCTTACGCCGCCCTTGGTCATAGAAATGATGTAATTTGAATATAAATTATTTATAAATACGTATGTCAAGTTATATTTTTATTACTA